TGGTCAGATAATCAGCGACAGATAATCAAGATCATATTTCGTAAATGACGGGGAAGCATTAATTGGAATAAAAAATGTTTCAACTTGTAAAATCAAATTGACTCATTTATATCAGTCTCAGATTTGGTTTTCTTCTTGGCGCTGACAGCTATCATCTATATCTTAAAGTGAATAAAAGACGGAACACCTTGGTGATCGTCATTTTCCGTTGAAATTGATTGTTGTAGTGTTGATTATTTGAACAGCTGAATAGCCTTTAAAGGATACGATGATTTTCAGAAAATATAAATACAATCAAAATGTGACTCTTTTCAAATCTGTGTGTATCGATATCAGTGCCAGTAAAATACCTGTCACATTATGTAAGCACCATGGTTGTGTCATGGTTGTGTCATGGTTGGATCTGGATCATTTAACGTCATTCCTTCTGTTTAAATGAGATGCTTAAATATATTAGGAAGAGTTTCAATTTCCAGAGAATAATATTTCCGTAATAATTACTATGTCACTTCCTTATGTAGTAGGAAAAGGAACACGTTCCGAAACAGACAAATGTTAGTGTTATGTACTATTCGTTGGAATAAGCAAAGGCTACACATAACCAATGGGGTAAAAGGTCTCATTATCACCATCATAGAACAATCAGCCAAGTACATTTTCCTCCTCTTTTCTACCTGTGGTTCACACAGAAGACAATAGTTTTCGTCACTTGTACTGAGTGAGTCAGTATGGCTTACGAAATGTTCCAGCAATATCACGGAGGGGCACACCAGAAACAGGCTCCACACATTGTACCCACGTTGGGAATCGAACCCAGGTATTCTGGATGAGGAACGAACGCTTAAATCACTTGGCTACCCCATCACGCCTCTCGCCACCTGAAGAGCGTGGTAGCTTGATTACGTGCATGAGGTTGTTAAGGCATACATACTTGTTGTTGGGATCAGGACATCGACAGTGAGGTTGTTAAGGCCTACATACCTGTTGTTGGGATCAGAACATCGACAGTGGGGTTGTTAAGGCCTAGATAACTGTCGTTGGAATCTGGACATCGACAGTAAGGTTGTTAAGGCCTAGATAACTGTTGTTGGGATCAGGACATCGACAGTGAGGTTGTTAAGGCCTAGATAACTGTTGTTGGGATCAGGACATCACCAGTGAGGTTGTTAAGGCCTACATACCTGGTGTTGGTATCAGGGCATTTATCAGTGATGTTGTAAAGGCCCTAGATAACTGTTGTTGGAATCAGGACATCGACATTAAGGTTGTTAAGGCCTAGATAACTGTTGTTGGGATCAGGACATCGACAGTGAGGTTGTTAAGGTCTAGATAACTGTTGTTGGGACCAGGGCATCACCAGTGAGGCTGTTATGGCCTACATACCTGTTGTTGGAATCAGGACATCGACAGTAAGGTTGTTAAGGCCCACATACCTTGTGTTTGGATCAGGACATCGACAGTGAGGTTGTAAAGGCATACATACCTGTTGTTGGGATCAGGACATGGACAATGAGGTTGTTAAGGCATACATACCTGTTGTTGGGATCAGGACATCGACAATGAGGTTGTTAACGTCTACATACCTGTAGTTGGGATCAGGACATCGACAGTGGGGTTGTTATAGGCCTAGATAACTGTCGTTGGAATCTGGACATCGACAGTAAGGTTATTCAGGCCTAGATAACTGAATTCCATCTTGTATACGATGGAGAATCAGATGGAGTTATTTCTGAAAGGATAGTTGGAAAATGATCGCTTCCACAAAGGTCATTGTGGACAGACCAATCAAACTGATTGAATATGTTAGAATCTGCAAGAGACAAATCCAGAGAAGAGTAAGTGCCAGTTGCAGGATGTAGATAAGTATTTGAATCATCATTATATATGCACAAGTCATTATTAGAAATGAAATCTTCTAGTTTTTTACCTTTAGTATTAGTGTTGTTACTACCCCAGAGGGGGTTGTGACCGTTAAGGTCACCCATAATAACACAGGGCTTCGGAAGTTGATCATAGAGTGACTGAAGTTCAGTCTGCTGAAGTGCAGAGGAAGGTGAAATGTACAGAGAGCATAATGTGAATGCTACACCCAGAGTAAGTCTCACTGCAACAGCTTGGAGATTAGTTTTAAGGACAACAGGACTGTGAATAACATCTGTCGCACAAGAATAGAAGATCCTCCAGTGGCCCTATCACCCAGAGGAGAAAAATAATGATAGGCATTGAACTGACGTAAAGTAAAAGTATCTGTCTGTTTCAGATATGTATCTTGCAAACAGAATGCTGATGGTGTTAAATCCTGGACTAATAGCTGTAGTTCATTAAAATTTGTCCGTAGTCCTCTACAGTTCCACTGCACGATATTAGTAAAATGACCTATCTTTTAGGTGGATTGATAGGGGACCTATCCCTAACCTTTTTTGGATGGCGACAAGTTATGTGCCCTGGGATGGATGTTTTCTGACACATCCATCTCCTCGAGTGAACCATATTTATTGAATAAGTTTATTGGATTTTCTGAACCCTTGGGTGGTCCGCCACTCGTTTTCCGTCACATGAGTCTTCCGTCACATGAGACCTCTCGCTACAGTGAGCACACGTCACTGGCTGGGTACAGGTGTTAACACCATGACCATATTTTGGCATCGAAAACACCTCAATGGATTTGGGATGTAGACTGCAACTGTGATACTACAGTAACCCACTTAACAGACTCAGGGAGACTTGGAGTTGAGAATGAAAATAGGTATGTGTTTGTCGCAATCAGTTCGTTGTTTTTGCGGGTGGTAAATCGTTTGACATATGTCACACCCTGATCTTTCATTTCCGATACAATGTCCAGTTCTGACATGTCAGCTAACAAACGGTCTCTGTCTCTTATAATGCCTTTGCAGGTGTTCAAGGTTCTATGGGCAGTGACTGAAACAGGGATGCCAGCAAAATTTTACATTGTCAATAGGTTAGATGCCTGCTGTTTTCTACTGCACTCAATCAGTAGAGAGCCTGAACGTAAGCGTTTGATGTTCTTAACGTCGCCTGCAATGCCATATATCCCCCTTAGAAATAATAAAAGGGTTCAACTTGAGTGGAGTCTTGTCAACAGTGTCAAGAACAACGAAACGTGGCCAATTTTCTGTTAGTGTGGATTCATTCTCTTCATTGTCATTGTCTAGTTGTCGTTTGGTCTTTTTCGAGGGAGTTTGGTAAGCCATATTGAGTTAGTAATTGTTTCATCATCCGATGAAGAAGCGCTTAGCGTTACCCAACGAGGTGGTGGCTCTTCACGGGTGCCGAGTATTTATACGAATATCGAAAGACCCCAATAGTAACGTATCTTAATTCGTGTATATCCATGCACAATCAGTATTAAATTTTGAATATTGTGTGTGTGCTTGAATTTTAAAATATTACCTTACTGGATAGTGTTTGAAGATACTACATCCTCCTTCTCAGATAACTCGGACAAAGCTATCCCCTTAGTTAAACTATTACTAACCATATCTCTTCCTCTTACTTTTTCAGCATTTACAACTCAGGTATGGCATATACAAATCAGAGGAAGTACTTCAGTGTTATTGCTATGGCAGGTGTATATTACAGCTCTTGAATGCATTTGATGTTAAGGGACGATTTTACCGCAAAGCTGTCTGTGTGGTGTTTAACATGCAGATACCTTCGTCGAGAGCTATAGAAGTTTGATATGAGGAAGTACTTCGAGTTTGAAGTGCCCCACTGATATGAAATTACAGCTGTTGACTGCCCCTGATTTCGGGGAATTACATTTAGGGCTCAGTCATACATTTAAGGTGGTATACGGCCGTAGAAATTTGAAAATGGAGGAAGTACTTCAGGGCTGATGTCCCATTTGGTAGGATTGACTGGTTTGTTTTTTAACGCCGCACTCAGCAATATTCCAGCTATATGGCGGCGGTCTGTAAACAATATAATCTGGACCAGACAATCCACTGATCAACAGCATGAGCATCGATCTATGTAATTGGGATACGATAACATGTGTCAACTAAGTCAGCCAGCCTGACCGCCCGATCCCGTCAGTCAACTCTTATGACAAGCATGGGTTACTGAAGACCAATTCTAACTCGGATCTTCACGGGTCCCCTTCGGTATGAAATTACATCTGCCTTCCGCACATAATGACACGTGTTTGGGTGATCTTGTGTGTGTCAGCGAACCTGGTCGTATCACCTTTGTAATGTCCTTCGAACAGGATATGTATCAGTTCAACGTTACATGGTAAGCTTAACGACCTATTAATTTGAGTGTAAAGTTCTTTTCTACAGATCAAAGAACTTCTTCCCAATTCGGAAAAAAACACAGATTTCCATATAAACTTGTAACCTTACCTTGATAACAAATCTATTCAAATAATCGATTGATACTTTTTTTTCATATTCATATTTTATATGTTCATTGTTTACAGACGGTTATTGCTGATATATAACCAAAGGCATAACATATTGCAATGTAGAAAAGAAACTAAACATCCATCAGTTATGAATTTTTCAGCAGCCCAGGGAAGGAGGTGGCACATCTCAACATTTCGTTTGGAATCTTTGCAATATATGCTTTTGTTTGTTTGTTGTGCAACGCCGCACTCAGGAGTATTCCAACTTTATGGCGGCGGTCTGTAAATAAACTAATCTGGACCAGACAGTCCAGTGATTAACAACATGAGCATCGATCTACGCAACTGGGATACGATGACATGTGTCAGCGAGCCTCACCACCCGATCCCGTTAGTCGCCTCTTACGACAAGCATGGGTTGCTGAAGACCAGTTTTAACCCTGATCTTCTCGGGTCTTGCGATATATACACACGCACTGAGGCATACCATAAATTTTATGTGTTTCCTTACGACTAAAATTGTTATCTATTGGAAGTTTCATTACCAACCGTCGCCATTTAATTCATCTGGAGGACATTTCCAAATCTGATGCATCACTGGCAAAAATGATGTATTATGCAACTGCCTATGTACACTCATACCACACATTCAAGTGCTTTTTCAGGTGCATTTGTTTATGGCGGATGCCACCGGTAGGGCAGGATTCCCTCACCTCATCGAGGACCCTTGGTATAGTCATTATCTGATATTAATTCATAAATACACGCTCCGTTGGAAGCTGGGAACCTGCAACTGAAACTTCTTAAGGATGTGAAAACTTTTATCGTTTTCATCTATTTGGTGGTCATATATATCTACGACGGTAATTGCATAACTATGTTCCGTTTCCACATAGAGAAAATACGTTTACGGACATGTCTATCGCATTGCCTTAGCAAAATAATGGTCACTACATTAGTCTCACATATTTCCTACAGTGTCATAAGGTGAACCAAGCTTTAAGAGTTTCCGTGGCTGACGGTTGCCCCAGAGTAATTATCATAGTTAAATATGAAGACAATACGTTTACGGGCATGCCTATTGCATTTCCTTAGCAAAGGAATAGTCACTACAATAGTCTCACATATTTTCTGCAGTGTCATAAGGTGTGAAAAGAGTTTCCGAAGCAACGGTTGCCCAAAAGAAATCACCATTGTTAAACATAAAGAAATACCTTTATGGGCATTCTATTGCATTGATGTATCAAATGAATGATCACTACAAAAGTCTCACATATTTCCTGCTTTGTCATAAGTGACGACGAGTTTCTGAAGCTACGGGTGCCCTAGAGAAATGATCATAGTTGTCTACGTCGGTACTTTTGTCGATTTCGCTGTAAAACTTGATAAAGTCACAATAAGGCCGAAATACTGCCCACGTGGCTTAAATTAAACTCACTCACACTTTGGTGTGACTCCAAACACGTGGTACAGTACGTTTACTTTTCCTATCTTTACTTAAATATGCATGACTCATGTTGTACCACACTTTGGCTTAGACTTCCCAGGTAGATTTCAGCAGTGTCACATATTTTGATGGGTCATAGCAAACATGTACATACCTTGATCATACTGACATTTAGTTTCACAGAGGACCACCAGAGGAATGCAGCACAAACAGACAGTAAAAGTCCAATAGATCATGTTCGTCGCACACACATTCATTTCTCCATTTAGAGTCCGTCCACCAGGAAGTTCGTAGGGCATGTGATGTCATCTGTAATAAACATCCTTGTTGAAAACGTCACTCAGAGTCATGTAGCCACATACAAACACGTGTAGACAATACCGTACGGCAACGCTCGGGTTACTTTATACACCGCGCAGGTTATCGTGCCCCGGCAGTGCACACACATTCATCCAATAGCAAGCAATGTGACTGGTCAACGCATAGAGAACAACTACTCTACTTTCGTCGTCAAAACGAGCAAGAGATATTTCGGCAGCCATTCTAGAATTTATTGTTAAGGATTTGCGGCCATTTAGTGTTGTCCAAAATGACGGGTTTAGAAACATGTTCAGAGTTTTGGAACCAAGTTACACAATCCCGTCCCGACAGTATTTCTCATATTCTGCTTTGCCCATGTTGCATGAGACTGTTAAAACTGAGGTCTGAGAATGTTTCACTCACAACTGATGGATGGACTAGCAGACTCGTACATCTGCACATGTGGACAGACTATTGTTTCTAAAGAAGAATTGGAAAGTTGGAAACCAAGATAAATATGAATTATTATCTGCCTTCATCACACTATTTGAGTAAAATCAGAGTTAATGTGAAATATTGCCATTTGCCAATTATGTTAACCTATTTTTCACCTTGAGTCACCAAGTTATCTGCTGACATGTTTATTTGTAAGATTTCTTGATACTTTCATAGTGACAAAAGATTATTGTCTTCTTTAAATCTGTTGAATCTGTTGACTGTTCTGTGCATTGGATATATTTTTTCATCTTCATGTTGTTAAAACTAAAAAATATCTACCTGTGGACTGTTTAATTTCCAAACTTTACACACAGTAAGTGTTTTCTATTGAAACTGAAAGGTGACCATTTGTCAAAACTGTGACAGAGCCACAGAGCCAGTATTTATTCTTTATTTTGTATGTTATTTTACATACAAAGTTGTGGGGATCAAAGAGTCTGCAAACCACAGTTTTGGATTAAATAGTATTAAATCCTCTGTGAATGCGTTGCCTTGTTGTGGAATGTTTTAATACTAAGTCATGTTTATGAAGAAGTCATCATGACAACTTGACCAATACTGACCTGAAAGTTATAAGGAATAAACAACTGAACACATTTTATGCTTTAATCAGTTTAATGTAAAATAAGTTTGTAGAAAATGGCAATTTATCTTAAATTTGAATTTTTGTCTGAACTATCGCAATAGTTATCGCAGTAGTAGCATGCAATAGTCTATCGATATCGCAATAGTTCCTTAGGCCTCAATAGTCACCCCTACTGTTCTCTTCTTTTTTAATAGAAACCCGATGATACTTTATTTCACTTCCTTATGTCAGGACCGCCATGTAGCTGGAATATTGGTGAGTTCGGCATAAAACTAAACTCACTCGCTCACTCCTTATGTCAGGTATTATGGTGTGTAATTGTGCTTACCTTAATGAATTGCGAAAAGGTCAAAATGAAGATGTTTGTTCATCGTCCAGGGGTCAACCAGGAAGATACGTCAAGACTCTGTTTGTACGTTCTCAAATATACATCCCTGGCAAAGGCGACGTAAAAAGTGCAATGAATAGTTAAAAAGGCAACACATTAGACCTAAATCTATTTTGCCGGTAGTGAAGAACTGGAGTGTATCTGGAATTGAATACCCGTGCATTTGAAAGCTTCTTTAACTGTATAAACGCATGTCTTTGCAGCCAACGATTGTTTATTGTTTAACGCTGCACATAAACATATTTGCGCTGTATGACGTCGGTCTGTAAATAATCAAACCATCACCAGACCATCCAGTGACTGACATCATGAACATTTTGGATTAGGTGGCATTAACAAGTCGGCTAGCTTGAACACCCGATCTTGTACGTCAGTTGGGTAATAGTGCCTTATGTATATGTCGATATTGTAATCTCACTTGCACCCTTTAATATGACTTTAATATGTGAATGCATACTTAAATATTGTAGGTATGTATCCCAGCAAATATATAATCATGTGTCAATATTGTGCACATATTCACATTTGCAATACCAACATACTCGCCTTTGTATAGTAATCCAAATATCGATGTACGTTTTTGGCTGTGCTAGAAGAAGTCTTTGTCCAAATCTACGTCAATATGTTACAGAAGTTTCTAATCAGGTTTTTCCTAATCTGTATGACATTTCATATTTGGACCACGCGATATGTTCATGAACACATATGAGTGTTTGTAATCATTAAAATAGTAATGCCTTGAAGGTCGGAGTTTCACACCATGAAATCGGATCTTTTCACATTGTAAAGGTCAACACATGTTTTCTGATCACCTCTTCCCACATGTGGTAGATACATAAGTAGATTGTGTGATCTAAAGGTCAATGGAACAAATCGAAGGCAATGGATCACTCTGATATTCTTCTGGTTTACTTTGCCGTGGTCGTGTGCTCAAGCTCTGGTAGGATATTGTCTGTTAAACACTAAATGTAATGTACACTAGATCACTTCCCAGTAATACCATGTGCCATTCATTAGAATGACATTTTCTTGGTAGAATATCGAGCTCCAGTAAGACATAGTCTGTTAAACACCATACGTATTATACCCCCGATGACTTCCTAGTTATACTATGTGCCATCTAGTTAAGTGACATATTATTGTAGTATATATCATTAGAATGGTATGTTGTTGTAGAATATTGAATTCTGGTAAGACATTGTTTGTTAAACACTAAATGTAATGTACACCAGATCACTTTCCAGTAATACCATGTGCCATTTTGTTAAGTAACATATTATTGTAGTATATTGAAATCCTGGTTTATGTGCCTCTTTTCACGAACTCCAGAATTTTTTGTGTGGTACTGTATGTTCCAGACAAAAATAGAATACATTTCGAATACCAGCATGCATGACATGAGTGGTCAGGACAAATACTGGGGAATGATGTTAAATAGTTTGATCCAGGCGCAAGTAGCCAGATACCACTGGTTGGTCGCAGGTTTCTCCTAACTCCGTATCAGTTAAGACCATCTGTTTGTCTGAAGTAACCATGCTTTGTTTACTACCCAGAAAACATAATCCTGCGTCATGACATGCACTTAAAATCAAATATTACCCTCAAAACATATTCCTCGAAAGTAAATGGGCTTTCATTTATGCTTTGCATCACTGGATTGTCTGGTCCAGACTCGATTTGTTTACAAACAACATCGTGCAGCTGTACTAACACTACTGAAACAAACATATACTCGTGATAAAGTCACAATTGTACTATCGATTTCTTATGGACGTGGAAAGGGTTTTGTCGCTTCTATTGCGTCTCCTTTTGATAAAGCATGCTATGCGTTAAAATTCCATGTTTTTATATCACATGTTAATTTTGTTGTTCATTACATAATGTTGACAGTCGCTGTGTTGGCTCTGCAATGTCCGAGTTGCCACCGGGTGCAGAATGTGAACCAGTGTCGGATACGAACAGAGAACTGCAGCATCTACCAAGAAGTACGTAGTCGGAATTCATTGCATTTTGTTAAGTAAACCACAGACTTATTGGTTTCCTTACAACATAATTAGATTATCAGTTGACATGAAAGTTGAGCAATATACATCATATCTATAACCTCCCCCCCTCTCTCTCTCTCTCTCTGTGTTTGTGTCTGTGTGTGTGTGTGAGAGAGAGAGTCTTAGTGTCTGTGTGTCCCCAATATATAATTCATGTTCTTACAATAATTATGAATTCTACCAACCCGCGAGTTGATCAGTGTTATATCACCTTCTCATCTATAACAATGCATGTATCTTTTCCAAGGTGTGTATCGGGGTTTTGAATGAATGGCACGTGACCATGGGCTGTGGCACCATAAAGGTAAACAGGCACATTAATGAAAGTATTTAGCACAGTCCCTTTTTTATGTATGAGACCAAGGGTTGAAACTTTGTTACATCCTAATAGTCACTGATCTTTTTGTGGTCTCCGGTGGATATCGTACAGATGTTTAATGTGACGATCTTTGAAGACTTTGTCATCGGATGATAATAATTTTGTTAATAAGTACGTTTATTACGAGGATACGAAAAAATATAACATGCAACGAAAAACAAACCTTGCTGTCTGTTCTTCATCAACAATAACAAAGTCTGATGTATATTATAAAGTCCAAAGTGTGTACACGTAACTTTTGTGAAATGTGTCACATCGTAAATGTGCATTCATTTATGTAAAACTTATACCACGGTCTTTGTAGCATATATAATCCCCTTATTTGAAAATATGTCATGCCACCGACTGTAGAGATGCGATTATGATGACCTACAAGACACGACTGACTGTAGAGGGACACACCCATTTGGACCCAGGGACAGGTGCACGGTGTGCTGTACTGGGGACATCTGCCAGTCCAGGATGACACACATACAACACGGTAAGAATATTTCATGGTCCAGCATGTGAGTACTCAACGAGTGGATGAGTGAATTTACTTTTATGCCGCTTTTAGCAATATTCCAGCAATATCACGACAGGGGACACCAGCCATGGGCTTCACACATTGTACTCATGTGGTGAATGGTATCTTTGTTTGGCATGACGAGCGAACGCCTTAACCAACAGACTACCCCACCGCCCCAAAAAAGTCAAGGACTATTCATATATTTATGGTAATTTTAAGTGATGGATATACTCCTAAGTGAGATTCTATATTACATATAATTAACATACTTGATTTCTTACCAATGTGCTATGGGGCATCGATAGCAGATGTTCATGGTTGTTCTTATGTCTCAATTCTTTAATGTGTTCGGTTGAAACTTAAATTTGATAATATTTGCAAGAACATCCCCAAGCTATTTGGTGTCACTGGGACTATACCTTGCAAATCGATAAGTGCATATGTACATATTCCCCTTGTGAAAACACCAAAACTAGTCTTTCATCCTGACATGCCGTTGCCGCCATTTTCATACATGTATTGTCATCCTCATCCAATGTGCAAATTTGTTCAGGGTTAGATACGGTGCCTGGTGTGATCCATTGCCCAGTTTGTGATAACGAACACGACCCTCAAAGATGCTTGGACAATATCATACCCTGTGAATCTCACCACAAAGTGAGTACATTTTTATAAAGAAACTTCTCACGTACATTTATCGATACTTCCTTAATTGTCTGATGAGGTGTGGTAGTAAAATTTTACAGTAATTTAAAAAGAAACGAATTTGTTTGTTTTAGGCTTTAGTGATATACAAATATAATACTTTCCTTTCAGACATGTGAAATTAAGAACGCTGATGGGAAATGGTCAGCTACATGTTCCCACAACTCGTCGGTAAGTATTTTGTGTACAGGAAAAGTGTTCCTGGTTGTTGTTTTTCCAGTATGGGTGCCTATGGATTGTTGATGATGTATGTTTATGATAGGTATAGTTATAAAGGATAATTGGGTATGCACTCCAAAGGATTATTCAGTTTAGTTGGGTTATAATGTGCTCTTTTTATCAGGATTTCAAAGAGCGTCATACCACTCTTGCTCGGAAGTTGTTTGATCAAGGTTACATCTTTTATGATAGACATATGGAGGAAATTTCCAAATTTGATGCATCAGTAACAAGAATGATGTCCAATGCAATTCCCTCTTTTGACTTACAGCAAATTATTTCAGGCCAACGACTGAGTAGACTCAACATATGTTTATGACGGTGCGCCACCTACGTGGCACGATACGCTCACCTTTTTGCTATCACCTGGTGTCATCACTATTTCATTGTGATTCATAAACACATGATGTGTCATATCGCATGTTGACAATCACTTGATTGTCTAGACCAGACTCGATTGGTTTACAAACAACATCGAACAGCTGTAATACTGCTGAAACAAATATATACTCATGATATAGTCACAATTGTACAATCCACTCTGTTTTTAGCAAAAATGTCTTATTGATGTGAAAAGGGTTTTGTAGCGTCTATTTTCTCAGCATCCATGTATTCACTCTCTGTTCTAGTGCATCCATCCACCCAATCTGTATCCAACAGACTGCACTCAAGACAAAGGGCACAAAGAGTGTGTATATTGTTGCAACGATCAGACTTGTCTTGACTATGCATTTGGCATAAAGCAACTCCCTACAACTTCACCGACAAGCACCAGCGTCGCAGGTACTTCAGCAACGTTGACGTTTGCTCCACCGTCCTCATGCCGTGACCAGTCTCTGTTCCCTTGTCACAGAGCTGTTGGAGCGGCTTGTTCAGACCCTGACATATCCGTTGAATTCTGTCCGCTGTCGTGCGGTATTTGTAAAGGTAAGTGTTTAGTCCATATGTTTCTTCGTCTGACATTTTGCTTGACTTATTGATTTTTCCATCACAAGGGATACATATTTCAGTACCAAAACAATGCAGGATCTTTTTAGCAATGTTATTTGTCATTTTGAAAAGAAATAGAATTAATTGATAAATTTGGTTTATAATATGTATATAGATATATATTTTATTATGGATAGTTAGCCACTTAGATGGTTAGTGGCTGTATCTTCACAGGGGTTTGGAGTTTTATACAATTATTGTCATCGTGTAGCGGTACGTAAGTCCCAATACTTTCGAAGTAACTTTAAACTTACCAGGATATATCAAACGTAGTATGTTTGTGAGTTTTATTTTGGGTAAATTTTCCTTCAATCGCCCGCTGCTGTTGGGATGGTGTAAATCCAGCTAGGGTCCATGCAGGTCGCAAAGGTACTGTCCCTGGGGTCCCTAGTATGGTGATCTACCTATATATACTCCAGTGCAAACCCCTTTCTAAATATAAAACCAAAAGGCAGAATTGATTGACATCCACTTACAAAAATAGCATTTCGTAACGGCTGTATCGATGACAGTGGTAATAGTTATACCATGAATCTACAGGAATCTTCATTTCTCTTATATCGCCGCCATATAGCTGGAACAGTGTTGAGAGTGGCGCTAAACAAACAAACAAACAAACAAACAACCATAACTACACTGATAAATCAATACGGTATTGGATCATGATCTGTTTATACTGCAGAAATACATGTAGTACGAAGTGCTAATTATCATTCATGTGACCTAGTGTGCGTTGGTACAGCTTTGCTCAATGAAGACTGAAGTTGTGTAAAGGCAAACGTATATGTAACAATGTAACACTCCGTCAAATCCATGTTATGCACCCCATTAACGTCTTAAACGTTTTGTTAATACTCTACTGCTCTACGTTTCGCAGCCCCTACAACAACAGCAACCGCTGTGTCTTCTTCATCAATTCCGACGCGTGGCGAGCCAACTACAACATTATCATCAACTAAGCACACGACGCAGGAACCGAATAAACATACAACACATTCAACAAATAAACAAACGACACATGTACCAACCAAACACGCAACACAATCCCAAACAACACAAATACATCAAAAACACACGACGCACAAGCCGACGCCTCAAACTTCACCTGTACCACATACACATAAGGCTACAGCAGTTCCTGCGACAACAACATCTGCAGCCTCATCGACAACACCCAACGTCTTTGTATCAGGACCAGAAATAGGTAAGGTCTTCAACCAGGTCAGGTGTGATCAAGTTACACTGTGATCGGCTGATTACACCCATTGATCATTACTGTGCTCTAGTCACGATTGTGTTGTGCACACTTTTATACTCGATAAGATGTACTCTCACTAGTCCAGCATGTGATTGACTTCAACATCTGGAGAGCATAGCGCTGGTGAAAATGAATTCTCCTACCTATAATTTATATGCAACTAAATATAGTGTTAAACAGATTATGGCCCTTTTCCTGTTTCGGTGGCTGTGACCATTTTTATCCATTTACCCCGTCGTTCTCGGGGTCTGCATGTTTTAGCCCAAACATTATCCATCATCCTTGTCTCTGCTTTATGGTACAACCTATATCAACCCTAGCGTTCTCAATCGTTCTCAATCTCAAGCTATATATTATATTATATGTATGTGTGTGTGTTTGCGTGTGTGTTTTTGTGTGTTTCTTGTTTGTTCTCTCTCTCTCTCTCTCTCTCTCTCTCTCTCTCTCTCTCTCTCTCTGTGTGTGTGTGTGTGTGTGTGTGTGTGTGCCCTAGTCGCCTAGCCAGAATGATATCTCCCATGAATTAAAACGTGTTTCCAATGCATTATTCATTGGATATACTGATGTACACGCCAGGTTTTACCTGGCCGATAATCAGATAAAACTAAATACCATCAAATACATAAAAAAACATCCACAACCCTGATTATTGTCATTCTTAACATCCTGTTGCAGCAAGCATACGCGTGTTTTCTATACCATAAGCGTATCATTTTGAATTACAGTCATAGTTCTGTAACTGTGAAAACAATGAATCATGCATCTATAGATGTCAGTCACGAGTCCCCGATACAGTCACACGACTTCCTCCTACTCATTCTGTCAAACCGGAGATCATGTTATCTCTGTTATACAATCCCTGGAAAATCATGACTTGTGTCCTGTATCCCATATTAGGTATCGTTCGTCATCATGCACCAGGACCTAGTTTTGTGGATCTATATTTATAGTAACAGGGGCCCTCCCTCTGTGTTTCAATTGTGATAGTAAATGTGTTCTTGAATGTACACTTATGTTTAACCCACCCGCCCAATGACAATACAATTGTTGTAACAGCGCATAGTGTGTATCTCTGGCGTCGCCGCTGTTGTGGAATGACTTGGCAATATGTTCGTGTCACTGAATACAGAGGGGGTGGTATGCTTCAATGACTGACGGGAAGAGATGATTAATGAAATTATTGTGCTATTACGTGCTGTTTTGGCGACATCGTCGGCTTATGCGCCGAAATTGACTGTTTGGAGTTGCGTCCCTTAGATGTGCGAGATACCAACGTTTGTGGATTTCAATCCCAGATTACATATGGATACAGTTGTATGTTTTCAGCAACATACTTGGACGTACGGTTTTATCAAGTGTCACATAGCTATGTTCTGCAGCTCTTTTGCACTACGTGTGTTGTCTTTCCCTCCTAAAGTGCATCACATGTCGCGAAATATATACTCATATCCTGGTTAAACCGAACACACGCACGAACTGCACTATGTCTATCAGTACTTGTGATAGTCGATAGTCCGATCAATATTTACATCCCTGCTGTTGATAATTGAGTCTTTCTGAGTTAGTTACCGACTTTGGTCCCTTGCTAGTGTTTCCTGTTCGACTAAGTGTAGCCATCGCCCTTACACTCCCGAAAAACTAAATTGTATTGTACAGCTTCAGTATTTGGGGTTCGCCTGAGTATGTTGTCGTACTGTTGGCATAAACCTCTTTGACTCTTTTGAGGTTTATTTTGTAATTGTCAAACACATGTACACACACGCGCTCACATTTGTGACCAGATACATAACACACACACACAAGCAGTAAAATCAAAGAAACCCATTTGTTATTGTCAAGCACATGTACACACACGCGCGCACACTTGTGACCAGATATATGACACACACATACTCACGTACGTACGCACGCACACACACACACGCGCACACATTTGAATATATAGATACATATAATCACATATATACGTGCACATACACAGAGATATTCACACAGGAGCACGTTTGGCATACAGCAAACGCCTTGTTTTCTCTTAAGTTTATTCAGTAAGCTATACAGTTCCTGTATTACATTCAAAACAAGGAAAGCATAATGAGGCTTATCCAACGAGATTGTCACCAGATGCGCTGTAACAAAAGGATTAAAATATATCCACGGTTTGTAAACAATCTTTCCATGACTACCATAATTGCTTCCTGCGGGAGGGTTTGGAGATCCTAAATTATTCTTGATACAGTTATTAAAAGTAAATTTGGTGTTGTTAACTGGTGCTATCATTCTGTAGGTGTTGCTGCTAAACATCATCAGGACAACACTCGTTTTTCCCAGTCGGTACTGTTTAAAATGTCAAATGTTTATAAACGGCGTGAAAATAAACTCACTCACTCACTCACTCACTCACTCACTCATAAACGGACATTACTTTAGTGTATATGCACTTTGGCTCCTCTCGAAACAATAGAAATTATCAAAGAGGCATAACGATTTAGGTGAAAATTCGTTCGGGACATCAGCTGGCAGGTAAATGGTCCTGCGCAGTCTCTCAGATACTCCTTACGGAGCATTACTATCTAACATGGGAGTGCTTGCCCACCAGAAATGACAGATGCTATTAAAGGGTTTTTAAAAAGTGAGAGTCCAAGTTACATACATGAAATGTGTCATGACAGGTTTTCATTTTCTGACAAGATCGTTTACATATGTAAACAGATAGAATAGCCAAATTGATTGGAACAAAGAAGTGTTATTGGACTTCAAAGATGTGCACGTCGGTGAGCCAAGATGAATTGACCATATATTTGTAACATACATTGCCTAAAAAGTCGCAATGGACTTGTTCATCATCAAGGAGACAACCCCTACACGCTGTCGTAGTGTAAATGAGTATGTGAGTTAGGTTTTACGCTGCTGAAAGAATATTCCAGCAATATCACTGCGGAGGACAAAGGATAGATAGACTATATATAGTCATGGCTTATAAGAAGGAATCAACTTACGACTTTTCACATATGTGGCCAGCGTTATCAATGCACCTGGCGTCATACCACATGAACGTCGAGCCGTAGTTCTGCAGTAACCCACAGTCCTCGTTGCCGCTCTCAGAGCCAGGCTGTCCATTTCCCCAGTTTGAGTAGGTCAGCTTGACCCCGCTATCACCCCAAACCCAGTTGCCCTCCTGGATTTTGTCATTTGCTCCGAACCACGCCACAAAGTCAGCTGTTGATACCATGTAATACACGTCAATGGTGAGTGAGTGAGTGAGTTTAGTTCTACGCCGCTTTTAGCAATATTCCAGCAATATAACGGCGGGTCACACCAGAAATGGGCTTCACACATTGTACCATGTGGGGAATCAAATCCGGGTCTTCGGTGTTACGAGCAAACGCCTTAACCACTTGGCTACTCCACCGCCCCACGTCAATGATCAACCATTAGTCATATTTCATGTATAACATATGACAATGAGGACAGCAATACATTGCAACAGTGCAACAGGGTTTTCCAGTATATAATTTTATATCAACTCTAATGTATTTAGCATTTATGCTTCATAATTGAACTCCGATGAGAATATATCCTAAGCATTACTTTTATGATGTATACTGTTTTATGGGCATTTCATGTGATCACTTAATTCAAATAACGAAACTTACATTTAAAATTCAGTATGAAATTACTGATGAAGTTGTTCTCGTCCCTGTCTTCTATTCTGACCAAGTAGGAGTTGTAGGTCTTGCAGATAGCCTGTTGTAAAACATGTCCTTCACCATAATATATAACCAGGAATCCGTTCATTCTTTTATAGATTAAGTTACCCTCCAATTACTAACCGATATTTTTCAATCGTTGCTAAACACTTTGACTGCAATCCCGACTCGTATCAGCGCGTAGCGCACCACTGTGGCAAAAGTTGTTATATCCATCTTCAACAATACGCGCCGCGCGCGCACACACACGCAAACACACACACACACGCATGCAGAAAGACACATATTGACGGATTCACTCACATTGCATCGTTCTGAAAAATCCATTTATATTTATTCACATTCATCATTTAATATTTACAGAAGCTCCAATAATACACTGCGCTCACGTTTAACATTTGCACCTGTCGTGCGAAGCGTAAGCAGCCTTTGTCAAGGATATTTATTAAAGCGGTAGTGCTTTAGGGTTGAAGAGTCCTATTGAAGTAGAATTACAACCGTTGACTGCACTTGAATACACAGGCATACCTTAGCGCTGTGTCATATGGTTGCCAGGTTGTGTTGAAGCTGTAACAAGAGCTCTTGTACACGACCCATCCGTCGGGGCAGGAACAGACACAGTCTTGTCAAATAGAAGATATACCGTCGTCATCTTTGATATCGTAACAAAGTTACATAGTGATGGATGTCAATGAGCCTCCTTCATGTAATATTCGCTCAGACATTGATTATGGAATCTACGTATTTTAATCTATAAACTTTAAAAAGCAACTGTTTTAGAGGAATTCTAGAATTTGTCAGCAATAGGAATGACACGTGTACAATAAAGAAGTTTATCATCCATAAACACTCGTATTCCTATTCAAAAAGCAAGTAGAAATATTGTTTTGATGATAGAAAATAATATGACGATTAATATTTGTACTGTTTGATAAGTGAAAATAATATGACAATTAATTATACTTGTACTGTTTGATAAGTGAAAATAATATGACAGTTAATCATACGTGTACCTGCTGCAGGAAGGAAGGTAAAAAGCACGAACAAAAGGAAAGTATTGATTAAGGCGGCCATATTAGCGGACTGGTACCTGACAACCTGTTACGTCTCAGGAGATATGACAGACCGGCCCACATAGAAGTGTTGACGAGATTTCATTTGGGTCACGTGATCTCTGATAGAGTAGGACAATTTCTTTTGCGAAGTTTCACCACATCATTTAAGGTCAATTGTGAGGACGTGGATTGTGTTCAGTAAGGCTGGTTGTGTTGGCAGAGTTTCTTCCCTTATGTAACTATCCGTGTGTGACATCTGGTTTTATCACATACGCTGCATTTTAATATGGCGTATTGCAAATAAACCATGTACAATATTTCGATGTGTGTCGGGAGACCAACTGTTAACAACATGTATTCCTTGACAGAGACTTTCAGTTTATATGTGAAACAAACAAATCACGCCAGCATAATTAGGTCAGTTTCACAAGAATTTCGTGCAGGTATCTGGTCAAAGAATACCCTCGATAATCCAGATGGGTACAATTTGCTCTAATATGGCTGGAATATGCTTAAATGTCACATACAATCTTAAATCGCTGGAGAATAGACGTGGGTGTTTGTTGTTCATGTTCATGATGTATAGGAGTGAGTCTTACACAGCTGCTACAGTGACCTAGAATTGATTCAGATCTGGTCGGTCAGCGGAGTCACAAAGTCGAGACAAGTAGGTTATAGCAATCGGCTCCTATATAAGGCAATGTAGTCATTAGCCAGAACGGACAGTGTTTCCTTTTCGTATCAATATACATTTCTAACATCACCGGATACTACAACGAGACCATTAACATCTAATTATAGATGAACACACTGTTAAAGTATCACTACAATATTGGTAGTGAAATTATAACGGTTACCTTCACTATACACGGTCAGATATTCTGATGCATTGTGTAGAGACATTAATACAATTCACAAAATCGATATGGTGATATATAGACCTAACGGTACATGCATGTGTACCTGAGACATCAATTGTTTGGTACAATGTTCTTTGCTTGCAAACCTTGGGTCAGCGGTCCGTTTGCTGATAAGATGCCTTACTTATCTCAGGTCAGATAGAGTGTTAAAGTATTTTATTTCGTCCTTCTTTATCAATGTCACCACACCGTGGAAGGATGGTCACGGTATTGCTTGGAACATTGCTCCTACTAGCACCAGCAGTGTCAGGTAACACAAAAGTCTGTTAATCGCCAAGGAAAGAGCAATCCTGCATCCTTCTCTAAACATTTTACCTTTTTTTCCACTCCGGCAAACATCCTTGATGCAAAGCCATTAGTATTTTACTACAATGAGTTTAAATCATTTCCTAATATTGATGCATAGGTGACCATCCTTAACATAAGTGAATATCCGATTCTAGATATATACGTTGCAAAACATACATACATACATACATACATACATACATACATACATACATACATACATACATACATACATACATACATACATACATACATACATACATACATACATACATACATACATACATACATACATACATACATACATACATACATACATACATACATACATACATACATACATACTGTAAGTCCCCATGGTCCCTAGTATGGTGATCTACCTTCAGTTGTTGGCGATTACTGGCCCATTTTTACATTGTATTGTCAAAAAATAATGTTCTACTTTTAAAGATATATGCTAGCTAGTTTTAACTCATTTTGTGATAATCTAGTGGTTTTACTGTCCTTCGTTGACAGGGTTTTACATATTATCTGTATGTATTATATATTTAGAACTAGTTTTAGTCACGATTTTGCTGAAATATTGCCGATGTGACTTTAAATTTTAACTCACTCACTCACTCACTGCATACATGCATACATACAGTCGACATTAAAACTATTTATCTTGCATACAAAAAAATATGTCATGTGTTAAGCAACATTTAAAAATGATAATTATTGTCACTAACATTGCAAATTGTCCTCCGTGTATATGCCAGTCATTACCATGTTGTCTGATTGATTGATTCATCCATTCATTGATCCATTGAATGTTTGACTGATAGATCCTTCGATTGATTGATCGTACCGTTGCAGGTGCTGGTTGTCCCAATGGCTATACCCAGTTTGAGGAATCCTGCTACTTTCACCACCATCAGAAGATGACCTTCATTAAAGCATCGGCAAGTTCCCCATTGCTTCACGTCACGTTACCATTCCATTGTTATTATGTGTGGCAAATAGTTCCATCACTACATTCCTTCATCTTGATTTAATTGAAGGCAACTATTGGGAAATATTTAGAACTGTAATTTCCCCATTCGATATTGCACTACCCACTGACTCGAAGTAAAAAATAAAACAAAACAATATTAATGCGGATACTTACACCATCATGTATGATTATCCCTAAGGGGCCTTAATCCACCCTGTTCTATCTAAACTGACTCAGAAACAGTTCATAACGCATGGATGAGGTTGCAATGAGTAACGGAAGTTCAGATGTATTTTAGAACGATCATATGATAAGGTGACAGATTTAAGTTACGAGGCAGCTTCTTAATATGTTCGGATTACTGTCAAAGCAAATGCTTTAAATTATAATTCTCCTGTGGGCTAATGGGTTATAACCATATGCATGCTTGTCGTAAGAGGCGACTAACGCGATCGGTTGGATAGGCTCTCTGACTTGGTTGACACATGTCATCGTATCCCAGTTGCGAAGATCGATCTCATGCTGTTGATCACTGGATTGTCTGGTCCAGACTCGATATTTTACAGACCGCAGCTATACAGCTGGAATATTGCTGAGTGCAGCGTAAAACGAAACTCACTCACTCGCTCATAGTAGTCTTAATTTCTAGGTATATTGCCGACAGCACCAAGGACATTTGACCGAGATTGAAACAGCAGAGGAAGGTGTATTTGTGAAGGCATTCCTGAAGGAAAAGATTAGTAAGAGAAATTTACCACCTGTAAATAAAGTTAAAACCTGTGACCCTGTGAGGGGTCCGTGTTAAAACGTGTATCCTAACAACCAAAACTTTCATAAAGAATCGGGTGGTCAGGGTTGATGGTTTGATGACTGCTTGTGTAGTGGATCTGTGGTCACAATATCAATCACTGGTTTGTCTCAAACATTTATTCACAGGTCATCGTTTCACACCTAGGATATTTCTGCCAACAAGCAATTGTTCGCGAAAGCAAACGCCGGATTTTGACTTTCCACCTTGGTAGAATGTGAAATGTATTTGTTAAATATAAAAGAAATCCCATTATTTCACCCTGGCCTGAATGGCTGATAAACATTCTTTGAAAAAAGGTTCTATTCTGCAAGGCGACACGCATGTCGTACTTATAATTTATTGTTTCCATAGACTAAAGGTTGGAAGATTTTCTGATCCTAATAGTCATGAGATCAAATAACGTCATTCCATTAATGTTGCTGATGCCACGTTTGAGTGACAGATAAAGTAAGAGGTATATTTGAAACTACTGATTACTAACTGCATTTAGAATGTGAATAAATATTCCTAAATGTTTATCGAATACAAAGTCGCACATGTCATAGAAATCACACACTTGTTTTTAACTTTGAAATTATTTGCTGATTCACAACGTCTGTTTCAGTTAGCAATGGTGTCTGGTTAGGAGCTAACGACATTCGGTTTGAAGGCTACTATGTGTGGGACAAGTCGGAGAACCCACTGAACTACACGGATTGGTACCCTGGAGAGCCAAACCAGAAGACTGACGAGCAGGACTGCATGAGTAGCTGGAAATCGGAGGGGTATCAGTGGGCAGATCACTACTGTAACCACCCTGACCTCGAGCCATTGTGTGAGACAGAGTAAGTTGTTGGGGATTTAGATATGAAGACTGAATCGGTAGCTGGAAATCAAACGGGTAACAGTAGGCAGATGACTACTGTAACATCCCGAAACTGGAGCCTTGGTGTGAGATAAGGTAAGTTGTTGGGAATTTAGGTAGTACGACTTCATAAATAACTGAATTCAGAGGGGTGTCAGAGGGGAGATCACTGCTGTAACAGCCCCGACCTCGAGCCATTGTGTGAGAAAGTGTACGTTTTTTGAAATTCGGGTTGTATGACAAAGTGAGTAGCTGGAAATTAGAGGGGTATGAGTGAGCCGATCACTACTTTGAGAGTCCTTAACCCCGAGCCATTTTCTGAAAAGGAATAAACTGGCTGCGAATTCGGATAATAATGCAGGTGAAAAATGGGAAATGACATTGGGTTCATGCATATACAGTAAAAACAGTACACAGAGACTCAAGTCATCATAGCTATATGAAGACAATTGGGTTTCACTCCTTCGATCATACCAAAAGTCGAAGATTTGATCTACAACGGTAGCAGAGGTAGACAAATGGTTTAACCAAGACACGTCATTCATAACCAGCTGTAGACAAAAGAAACGTAGACACGTCAGGCATAGCGAGAACGAGTCGGAGGTGTTTACCTAGAAATGTCACAACACAAGAAGAAAAAGACTCCACTTGGAACAATGACCTTACTGGGAACTGAGTGAGTGAGGGAGGGAGTGAGTTAAGATTTATAGTCACATCGGCAATATTTCAGCCATATCGTGACTACCGGGAACTGCATCAATAGATCCAACGATGTACACATAGTACTCTCTAGACAAGTCATCCATTGCCCGAAGTAAAGGTATTGTTGTGCGCGGACACGGCGCGATGTTCAAATAGGACGGGGTCATGTTCTGGGAATATGTGTTGGTGATTCAGACATTTCCAGAGTCAAAAAAGGATTAGCATTTAAGTCAGATTCAATGAAGGAAAGGGCAGATATCCATAGCCTGCAATGGGCGGACGGGGTTTATAAGACACACCATCCATAGCCAGCAGTAGTCATGTCGTCCATAGCTGGCGGTAGACAAATGGGTTTGAATAGACATGTCATCCACTGCCAGAGATGGACCTATTGGTTACCGTGGAAAGCACAAAGAGGTCCTACACTTAGCTATGGGCATATGATAACGCGTGGATGTATGTGCCAAGCAAATACGTGTATGCATGTGATCTGGTTATCCTTTATACTTTGAAACTATAAAACGATTGAGTGAGTTTTGGTTTTACGCCGCTTTTAGCAATATTTAAGCAATATCAAAGCATCACACATTGTACCCATATGGGGAATGAAACCCGAGTCTTCGGAGTGATGAGCGAACGCTTTAACCACTCATACCGTCCCATTTATACAGAATGTAATGATTAATATTACGTTAAAATAGAAAACATTTAAGCTTGTCTTTTCACTTTATGTTTCAGGGTAACAAAATGTAGCTGAGTAAAACAAAATGGATGATTGTCTTACTGCTGGAATAAAGGTCGCGATTTACAAACATGCGTTTTGGTCATAATGTATTATTCACGACTCTTGTAATTTAATACAACTGCACCAGAATTCATTGGTTTGGTTCTCAGCGCATCATGTCTACTTTTAAGGCTCCGTTGCATAAAGCCATTTGTTGCTAAGTAATGCCGCAAGTATGGCGTAACGTTGCGATAAATCAGTTGCGATGCCATGCAAGTTGGCATAGAGCATATTGCTTAAGTTTGAAGTATGTCGGAAATAGATCGCAAATTCTGTCTTAACATTGCGATCAATTGCAAAAAAGCTGAAAGTTGCAACGTTTACATTTTTCATTTTGTTTAGAACTCATCTGCTATAGGCACTCGCTGCAATGCAAATTATAGTTACATTACATTTAGTTGTGTATTTATTTATGTATGTCTTCTGAACATCTTTAATAAAATAACGACAGAAATCTGGCATATTTCTGATGATATGACTTTGTAAATATCTTGCAATTTAAAGACAAAACACATCAAGGTCAACGCATGTGTAGCCTAGTGTTTCGGGCTAAAAATGAAGGTTGTGACTAAGATTCCATTGCAATCACAAGTTTGAGTGTACATTAGTTTGCGCATTCCCTTACGTTAACACTTTAAGATTTGTTGTGTAGATTATGTTCAATAGCAATATACTTCTCTAAACTGGTATTGCTAGATTGTGTCGATTTCTCTCTCACAGGGGATCTTTATTATCATTCCACTAGTCTAATGGATCTTTTTAGTAATGTCAACGCTCATTTTATTCTTGGCTTCTTAAGAGAAATTGAACTGATAGATAAATTTTGAAATCGACATGTGTTTTAAGTTGGATTAATATTATGATCAACTGAGAAAATAGATGGTGGTGACACTAGGAGGGTTAAAGTAATGTAAAAATATTGGTGAAATATAAGTCCATTGTTGATCAAAGTGCATAATATTGTCTCGTGTTTTAGGATTTTGATTGGCTTGAGTATTTTAAATATTAGCTAGCATAAAACTACAGCCACTGATAACCAAAGGGATGGCATAAATCTTGCTGGGAAATCATGTAGGAAGCGAAAGCACTGTAAGTCCCCTTGATCCCCAGTAAGGTGGTCAGCCTGATTACCGGTATATATGTTGGTGGTTTATAGCCTAGTTTTAATTGGTACGATTGCATCTATTGGATCTACTCTCTTCTTATTTTAATTATGGTCAGGTTGGTTTTATTTTCAAAACTGTGATATATACACCTATTTTACTGTCCTTTGTCGACAGACATCTTTAAATGATTACTTTGTTTTCATCGCTATATGGCTGTAATATTGCCGACGCGATGTAAAATTTTAACTCACTCACTCTCTAAACTGTGACAGAACTAAAAGTCAAAATCACTTTGGGAAGATATTCTACCGGTGACACACTGCACAATTTCTCTGCAGTCCCTGTTAAGAGGATATTCTAAGAACACAATGCCCCGCGAATGCAAAACGATGACTCATGAGGATATTTATATATTATGTTTCTTTATTATCTGTTGGTATCTTCTTGTAACACCGTTTCCCGTAGGATGTAGGATCTCACACACACACACACATATAAAAGGGCGTTGTTGAACATAAGACATATGGTCAGACGTTGATCTTATTATTTGTTGATCATGATCAAATATCTCCTTTCTGGAGGCTTGGCTGTCTGGTAAACATGTCCTTACCATCCCAGCTGTCGATAAAACGGAAGAACAGTAAACATACTGTTCCATCTATACTGAGGGCAACATGTAAGGGATCACATGAAAGCACAAGTGTTCCTTTATTTTGTTCCAGATTTCTTCACACGTTGTGCGATACAAAGCTTGTGAAGAAACATGGGAAAAATAGAGGAACACTTGTGCTTTCATGTCATCCCTTTGTTTTCCTCAGTATATCATTATGGGTATGATCTAAACACTTGATCATCCAGATCGCGAAAACCATTCACATAATTATGATAAATAAATGCAGAATCTGTTACTTTATTATCAGTTAATATGCGTAATGTAACCTGGCTCAAAGGTATACGTTTTTATGTTGCCATTCTCCATTGTTACAATATCAAAATGTGAGGTTGCTTTTGCATGTCAAAATGCTGAACATCTAAACGCCACACTGACATTAAATTTGTCTGTCCTTTTAATGAGTCAGTAATAATGTGTGAAAAAGACCCCACAAAGCATGTGAATCCAGGAGAAGAAAATACTGAACGACATAAAAGTTGTATCACGTATGATGCATAGAGACTCAGGCTCTGCAAACTAGTTTATTCGGATAAAGCGTTATAGATAGATAGACAGCTGGAACCAAACCTGAATTTGAAGTTATGAAAACTGCATAATAGTATACATGTAGTGGCATACTAACAATCACATATGTGTATGTACAACTGATATCCTTGAAGAATCGTGTTAGAATTGGTCTTCAGCAACCAATGCTTGTCGCATGAGTCGACTAACGGGATCGGGAGGTCAGGCTCTATGACTTGGTTTGACACATGTCATCGTATCAAAGTTACGTAGATCGATGCTCATGCTGTTGATCACTCGGTTTTCTGACCCAGTGAGTGTGGAGGTAAACAATAAACCAATCAAATGTAAGCTATTGCAATGATGACATTATGTCAAGGATAATCAGACATGGGACTATATGCCTCTTACAGATAGTCGTACGTATGTAATTCAACATGGACTTACACCTTATCGCAAAACATCACAGTCGCATACTGAGATGTGGTTTGTAAAACACACCTCAAGACAGCCTCTAGAGTCAAGGTTGACTCTATAGTGAAGATTCCTGCAACGCTGTCGGTATGTTGAGTTTCTCTTTGAATTGTGTCCGTTAAAATCCTGGTCAAGTGTTCTGAGGCGCAGGAGTTACGTGACTTATTCATGCCAGGATCTAATAGTCAGTGGGGATGATATTGCAGATTTTCCCCTGTTTTGATGCTGTGTAACCCGATCTCCATGCTTGTAAGGGTATGTTTAACAAAGGAGTTCAACATCCTCACCATTTTTCTAAATTTCCTTCCACATCTAGCTGGTGGATAGCTACATATATATAGTCCGTCCGGACAAGTAATTGCCGATGTTCGATTGCTCAAAGCAGGCATAACACAATATGAGTTAAATAATCTTGAATGTCAAACTTTTTGTCGTCATACTACATTTATTTTTAGAGAACTAACTGATTTCTGGTATTGCAGTTATAAAGCATCTACACACTTAAACACGAACACACTCACTAGCACACACTCACACTCATGCTAACACACACTGATATACTCAATCAGACACTCACTCACACACATATATATTCACACTTCACGAACACACGCCTTCATAAGCATGCACCACAACACACTCACAAACTCACACAGGCTCACACACATCCACACATTTATATGCATGTCGCTATAAGCTTATTAATCACCAACTTGCCGTTAATCCAAACAGCTTGTTGACTTCCACTTTAAAGGGTATTTGAATTACAGTTCAAATTTGACTATAACGCGTATATATTAATATATTAAGAAACGACATTCTTTTGTCAATGTATTTCCCAAGAGGGTGACATACGGCTGTGACGCACGACAACGTTCGCAGTGATTCACCAGTTGATATAGAGGAACTGAGATGTACACAAGATGTTAAACACCGTACATCGGTCGTACATCGGTGATACTGTAGTGTATATCTAGTGTTTAATATACCCCATCTGATACAGACTGATTGATATCAGGGAGATTGAGAGAGAGTGTGGGAGAGAGAGAGACAGAGAGTGAGAGAGCGAGGCAGCGAGCGAGAGAGAGATAGAGAGTGAGAGAGAGAAATTGGAGGAGTGAGGGAGAGACTGTGTGTGAGAGGAGAGAGTGTGAGAGAGAGAGAGCGAGAGAGAGAGCGAGAGAGAGCGAGAGAGAGAGGATGTGATACACGAGCAACTCAGGCTTACTCAGCCACGGGAATATCGGAGCGAGAGAGAGAGAGTGTGAGAGAGTGAGAGAGACAGAGAGATTGAGAGAGAGAGAGAGTGTGTGAGAGAGAGAGAGAGAGAGAGAGAGAGAGAGAGAGAGAGAGAGAGAGAGAGAGAGAGAGAGAGAGAATGTGATACACGCACAATTACACTGCAACTCAGTGCTTACTCAGACACGGAACTGAATATCGACTGACTGCAAGACCTGCATGTAGCTATTGTAGCAACACGCTTGTCATCTTGTCATCATGTGAATCATACATGATGTGTATGATAATAGAACAATGAACCCGGGAAGGACGAACCGTCTATTGTGTGTGTTGGTGTTATATAATGGGGGCGTGAGTTGTGCCTCACGTCTCATAACATTCTCTAGATTGAATACACGTTACTATGGACAGACAAGGACTTCTTACCTGTATCATCCACATCATATTGGTTGTCATGGTTCCCATAAAAGGTACGTTGAATTCGCACTCACTCTTAAAAGTATTGTCTTGCATGTTATGACGAATGGAGCATTTTTACTGTAATAACTGTTAAGATACCGAGATACCAATAGTGCACATGTGGTTGTCGGACTGCGGGACAGCCTGCAGTTGTGTTTAGGGCAAAATGTGGGATTGCTTTTTGTTGTGTGTGGGGTGGACGGGGAAGTCTTTGGTAGTGTAATGAACGGGTGGGGTAGCTTTTGGTGGTGTACAGGTTAGGGAGAAGTGCCGATGGTGGTTTACAGAGCGTGTGGGTAAGAAGAAGAAGAAGAAGAAGAAAACTGATTTATTTAAGTGTCAAGCGATACAAGCATTAGACACAATATAAAATACCATGTAAAATATCGCCCGGCCAACTTGGGCCTATTTGACACTAATTGTCTTAAAATGTACACATAAAAGCACCATATGGTGGTAAAAGGTAATAATAAAAGTAAGCGGTTGTGCTTGCATTAAAATACAAACAGTATTAAAAAAAAAAATTAAAAAAAGAAAAATTACAGGAACATGTTTTAGGACACATTTTGAGTGAGTCTAAATCTAAACATATATTTAATTAAAGCGGCGACGGAGTGGTTAAGGTTTTGGTGTTCCATTAATAATACGAGTTGATCCTTCGCAGACAAATGGGGGCTTCTTACGACGGAGTATAAACTGCATGTTGTCAGAAAATGAACCTTGTCTTCAATAACGTTAGAATTACAAAACTTGCGTAGACGATTAGGTTTTGTGAAACGACCAGTCTCGATTTCTAAGGGGAGTGTGCCACTTCTAAATTTTGCTAAATAACTACGGGCTACTCTGTCATTAAGTGATTTCTCATAGTCTGAAGTACAAAAAGCAGTTTTATAGAGAGTTTTTACGTCCTTAACTTATTCCCATTAACTTGCCCCCTGTCGTCCCAGAGTTTTAAAAGCCAATTATTTGTATCGATATCTATACGTTTATGTTTTAAAAGCCAATGATAGTAATTAGAGCCCCTGATGTAACCAGGGTAGACGAGTTAAGTGGTGGTGAGTGGCGCAGGCAGGATGACCTGTGGTGTGATAGGGTAAGCGGGTTAACCAGTATGGTGCCAGGGTATGCAGGGTAGGCTATAGTGGTGACAGATTAAGTATGGTAACCTGTGATGATAGGATTGACAGGTAACCCAAAGTGGTGATAGGGTAAACAGTTTAACCTGTAATTGTCATGTGGTAAGCGGGGTATCGAGCAGTGGTAATAGGGTAAGTGGGGTAACCGATTGTGGTAGTAGGGTAAGTGGGGTCACCAGTTGTGGTAGTACGGTAATAATGTTTAGTAGTAGGGTTAGTGGGTTAAACAGTTGTAGTAGGGATAGTGGGGTAACCAGTTTTAACAATAGGGTAAGTGGGTTAACCAGTAGTGGTAATTGGGTAACCAGTTGTGGTAATAGGGTAAGTGTGGTAACCAATTGTGGTAGTAGGGTAAGCTTGATCACCAGTTGTGGTAGTAGGGTAACTATTTGTGGTAGTAGGGTAAGTGGGGTAGCCACTTGTGGTGTTAGGGTTAGTGGGGTAACCACTTGTGGTAGTAGGGTAGGTGGGGTAACCAGTACTGATATTAGGGTAAGTGGGGTCATCAGCAGTGATGATTGGGTAAGTGGGGTAACCAGCTGTGGTAGTAGAGTTTGGGGAGTAACCAGTACTGGTATTAGGGTAAGTGGGGTCATCAGCAGTGATAATAGGGTAGGTGGGGTAACCAGCTGTGGTAGTAGAGTAATTGGGGTAACAGGTACTGGTATTAGAGTAAGTGGGATTATCAGCTGTGATATGTAAGTAGGGTAACCAGCTGTGGTAGTAGAGTAAGTGGGGTTATCAGCAGTGATAAAAAGGGTAAGTGGGGTAACCAGCTGTGGTAGTAGGGTAAGTGAGGTAACCTGCTGTGGTAGTAGAGTAAGTGGGGTTATCAGCTGTGGTAGTAGAGTAAGTGGGGTCATCAGCAGTGATAATAGGGTAAGTTGGGTAACCAGCTGTGATAGTAGGGTAAGTGGGGTTATCAGCAGTGGTAATAGGGTAAGTGGGGTAACCAGCTGTGGTAGCAGGGTAAATGGGGTTATCAGCAGTGATAATAGGTAACTGGGGTCATCAGCAGTGATAATAGGGTAAGTGGGGTTATCAGCTGTGGTAGTAGGGTAAGAGATGTAACCAGTTGTTGTAGTTGGTAACCGGGGTAACCAGTTGTGGTAATATTGTAAGGCGGGGTATCCAGTAGTGTCGACAGGGCAGGTGGGTTGGCTTGGGTAAAGTCTATGTCTGGTGTCCAGTGCCATGACATTCTCTTGAACATTACCGATATCGACTTAAATCCAAACTCACCCACAACTCTATGTTATATTTCAGCCTTGAAAATGAGCGAATCCTGCTTTACTCACCAGTTGACCAAAGTATGCTCCCGTCATCGACTCAAGTGTGATCGTGATGCTAAAATTAGAATCAATGAAACATTTTATGTTGCTAAAAGTGATAGATTAGAGTGTTCGATTATAACGCCCAACTGCACCTCTGACACATATCTATCAAACTGCTGCAAATTCGCACCCGGAGATGTAAATCGTCATGTCTTCAACACCACGGATAGGGAGATTATCAAAACTCTTTGTTCTGATAAGCCGAACTGTGAGTTTCCTGCTCCACGTACCCAAAGTCTAATTTTCTCTGTGGTTACGTACGAATGTATTCAAGGTAAGTTGAATTAACCAGTCGAGTGGAGTAGGAAGTTTAGGGGCTAGTAGGCTCTTTCATAAAGGTTACAAAGTAAGAATTATACATGCCAGGAAAACATTCACATTCAGCTAGAACAAAATACCACTAAAACAAAACGTGTTGTTCCCTGAAGCAGTGAGAACTTTCGTAGGACCATTCAGCATGCTGTTTTCAGGGCAGCCAAAGTGAACATGGAACATTTTCTAATCTACAGGTCTCGTAAACAGTTAATACGAGAACTGATGACTTTTATTCCATAACGTCATTGTCTATCTCTTGTTTTAATGGTAAAAACATTTTAATTGAAAGAAACTTTCCATAATCTGTTGGAAAATACATCCATTATTTTGTTCAGGTGTATATTCGAGAACTTGGCGAAAATACAATTTTTAAAAAGAATGAAAGGCTAAAGTTTGAGACTGAAGCCGTTTGAATGGCTCATGCTGACTTTCTTCCTACCTTTTGTGATTTCCTTTGAAGGCGAAACCACAGGAATTGCTGTCGGCGTTGGCATCGCTGTTGCAGTGGTCACCATTTATGGAATCTTAATCGTCATCCTGTGCTATTTAAAAAGGTACTTTTCTATGTTATTCCATCCACGGCTTTATACGATAAACGATGCTAACATTCATTATCCATCACGTTTAATCAGTACAAGTCCACGGTAGATGTGAGGTTGTTGGAATATTGCTCACTCACTCACTCACTTCATAGTTTATAATATTTGTAATAAAATCTGTAATTAATACAAAACCGGTGAAAAGAAAAATAAGCAGAAGAATTAACATACATCTACTTGTGGGATAATTGTCCCCCAGTACCCATGCTACATGCTGCAAATAACGATTTGATTGTTTTAATGCATCCGGACACGTGAAGGTCCGGGTTAGAATGTGCCTTCAATAACCCATGCTTGTCGTAAGAGGCAACTAACGGGATCGGGTGGTCAGACTTGCTGACTTGGTTGATTGGTTCCTAATTGCGCAGATCGATGCTCATGATGTTGATCACTGGATTGTCTGGTCCAGACTCGATTATTTACAGACCGCCGCCATATAGCAGGAATATTGCTGAGTGCGGCGTAAAACTAAACTCACTTACTCACTCATTTAATGCTTCCGTCATATAGTTGGAATTCTTCAAAATGCATGCTGGTTCAAAAGAACCCTTACTAAGTCATTCAATATATTTTCCAGGCGAAGCAAACAGTCACCCCAACAGAACAGAAGAAGGTTGAACACTGCCCTAGCGCCTCTCTACCATGAAGTGATGGGCTCACAGCCACTTCCTCGTCAGACCGCCAGTTATGAGTACGCCACTATTGAGGATATACACGGAGGAAGAGGACCGGATCCAAAGCCAGTTGTGGGAGGATATGATCACTTGGGGGTCGTGCCCCGGGGGGTCGATGGGGGACTGGGGGTACACTATGACTCCGCAGCATGTGCTATGCCAGTCTGTCAGCAGGAGAAAGCGGATGGCGAGAGAGCCAGGTCAGGAAGTAACCTATACAATCATCTGAGTGTCAAGCCGCAGAAGTCAAAGGTCCTACACAACCAGTATGATGTTGCTATGCAAAAGTCACAGAAATGAATTCCATCTGATCTTGAATTTAACCGCGTTAGTCCGGACTCTTGCTCTCAGGACGAGTGTGATATTTCTTAGGAAAGTTTCCGAACTTTACTGAAATGAATATAACTGCGTAACGCTATCGTTTTACCTCGTTCATATCGACGTTTCCATTTGGAAGCATACGGATTAATAGAGTTACTTCAATAGGTAGCAGAAAAAAAGGACAACGTTAAATTCGGTGCTGTTCAGTGTTTAAAACACTCGATTTTCTCCTAAAACGAAATAATTGCGTGATCCGTATGAAACGTCGTGCTCAGTTTGTTCACCGCTTGAATGTAACAAGAGGAATTGTCCGGAATGTGGCAATTCACGTCTCTGTTATCAGCGCATATAGCTATTGTTGCCGTCTCTAGTCTACAAATGTCATCTCTGTCTTCAGCGAGTGTTTTAATGTCATCAGAGAATGACATATTACATCGGTCGAAGGGTGAGTGAGTGAGTGTGGTTTTACGCCGCTTTTAGCAATATTACTGTAACACAAAAGCGGGGGACACCAGAAATGGGCTTCACGCATTGTACCCATGGTCTTCAGAGTGACGAGCGGACGCTTTAACAATTAAGCCCCACCAGTCAAAGAAAGAGTTACACGTGAAAGCAACTTTTTCTCTTTGGGCGTACACATTGTAATACTTATATGTAATCAACAGTACTGAATCAACAGCATTCAATCCGTAACTATCCATTAAGCAATTCCTATTATAATTGTATTTATTAATTGCTGCGGTGAAAGACTTACATTACGGAAAGAGTAAGACCACAGAATCATTGTAACACTTCTATGTGAAGAAGATGATCTGTTTCAGGTATTTATATGATGGGAATGGAAGGGAAAAAGAGAAATAAATTTTGTAATAGTTGCCTTTATCTGATTGCTCTTGTATTGGATATAAAAATAGAGGCTAACACATGACAGTTGAGTACAGGTCAACAGATAACAGAGACACGCTGACATTTTTGCCACGGTCAGGCAGCAAAATGGTGACGATATACATTCTTGTAATACTTTCATTTCTCTTATTAGTCACGACAGTTGCAGGTAAGTGGTAAAGGAAATTATGAACCCTTAAATGTCTGACAATCGCCTATACATAACCTGATAGTCAGGTGGGAGTGGTACCTTCCTGTTGGTCAAATGATCAGGGGCGGTGGGGTAGCCTAATGGTTAGGTTGTGTACCTTCCCCCCTGTACAATGGTGAAACATCCTGATTGATCAGTAATACAGCGATATTTCATGACGGCATGTAATATGGAGTTTGGGTCGGTGAGTTTGTAATGACATGTAGAATGACAGCTCATTAAGAATTGATAAAGGGCTATCATCTGACCATCCGATGCTGTTTAATCGCTTGTTACTTTGAGCAATAGAGTACCGGTTGTTTAAACCCGTCTTAGTCCCAACGGGAACAAAAGTCTCAGCTGAATCTTTGGTTAACCCTGATTGTTTGATGGATACTTTAGTTTGCATGGTAAAGCGAAGAAACGCTTCACTTTAACTCAAACACTCACTGTAAAATTTGGAGTGAAGGTTTGTTATACACATCACTATTCGCCTTATGTTAAAATAAATTTTAATAAATTTGTAAATGTTGTCTTATATGTTACTTGCGAATTAACCCAGTACAATGAACGTGTTCCGTCGTTCGTGTGTAAACATTTAGTGTTCGCAAAGTGTCGAAATGTTTGCATTTAGTCAGCCACACTTCTTCAGAATATAATATCGATAGTTTTGGTTGGTTATACATACGTTTTTGTCTGGGATGGCGAGGAATCCATGTTGCAAAAGCCGTCAACAGATAGAGAACGATGCTTGCTCGTGTTTCAAAGAAAGCGTATGGGATGAATCCAATTGCAGGATCCTGAAAATGGTGATTCTTGGTTTGTCGGCACAAAGTGTAACAAATCTAAAACCTGCGTGTCATCAATGAAGTTGACTCGTTACTTTTACAATTACTAAACTTCATGGGTGTGGTGTGGATGGAGTCACTCACTAGTCAGGAGTAGATTTCAGTCCTTGAAATTGAGTCTACAAACACGGCAAACACAGGGGAAGATAGCACGTCTATGGTCAAGTAAATTGTATGCACATCCTAGTCCAGTGTAACTAACATGGGATATATATGCACAAAATAAAGTATGTGGAATCATTGTTGGGACATCATCCTCTACAAAACGAAACCCGACACTCCGCGCTATATTTAGAGTACCTCTCAGTTACACCGTAATATTAAGATCAAACACAGATGACTTAACGCAACATCCATCAATTTTATTCCTGTTTACTCTGCGACACAAATGCAAGTACAGATTGATAGTCTTGACTTTTTGTGACGCTCGTGTTTGTGGCCTAAGAGTTTGGCTCTAAGTTACCAAAATATGAACATACACGGTAATCGTAGGTTGTGCAAAACACACGATAGCCTGTGGCGCGGTTTCGATCTGTTAGACAGTGTGTGTGTTTGACACAAAGAAATCCTATCAGACACACGACATACAGGCCTAGTCGTGTCTAATAAAACCATTGGACGATTTTTTATTTTGTCATACTGTTGTCAGAAGTTAGCAGCACCAAAATATCTAACATCTGTTTCTATGAGATAAGCACTGTAGATGTAATGTGGCATGTGTCTCCAAATCTAACAATGAACAGTTAGGCGATGTACACTATAGACGAGCAACCGGATAATAAATGGGAAATGAATCACGGATCACATGACACCGACGGATACTGACCTGGGGCGCGGTTGGCGAGCTGACTAAGGCGCAATGCTAGTGATCCAGCGAGGTTGAAGTGTCGGGATCGAGGCCACCTGTGACCGGGAGTAAAAACATTGGGTCAACTTTGTGTGCAGAATCTTTCCGTGTTGTCACAACCCCTAGTGCACATTACACAACCCTGTGCACTTAAAAGAACCCACAAATCCGTTGGTATATGACCAGATGGTGGCCACATTAATACGTGCAGACACCTAGTTGCGGGTACAGCAACGTGCAGTGAAATTGGACAAAGTACTGTGACTATGTGTCCCACTCCACCCAGGTGTGAATGGGTACCTCGTTAGGATGAGAACGCCACAATAACTCGGTGCGCCTAGTGGCGGCAAAAGTAGTATGCTCCTCAGGGAGTGGAGATTGACACCCAATTGATCGAGAGAAAAATTACTAGCGCCTTGAGCATGCACTAGTTGCCTGGATATGTGCGCTATATAAATATCCTATATACATACATAACCTTGTTTTAGGGATAGGATGTCCAAATGGATGGATCCGGTTTGACGGTTCCTGCTACGTGTACAGCAGCCTTGACCGTACATTTATTCATGCTTCGGTAAGTCACACCGACAATAGTGCAACATTTTAAAATATTTAGCGCTGGTTAACTTGCTATGTTGATATTTTGTTAATAGTTTCGTGTTTTTATTTGTACTAAAAAAAGGCAAAATGCTGAGAACAGTCTCTGGCTGAAACACCAGTGACTCGATGTCCGTCCACACTGTACCATGTGTACCTTATGTGTGTTCCCCAATCGTAATGGTGCTCAAATGTTACCAAATCCATAAAATCGGAAAATGGCATCGGGGCGTCAGTGTGACATCTAAGCACACACGCCATTTATTACGTTTCTTACTCCTTTTAGAGTTTCTGTAAGGAGTTGGGAGGCTACCTGGTAGAAATAGAGTCCGAAAAGGAGTCAAACTTTGTGACCAATTTCCTAAACGAGCATATAGGTATGTATAAGCGTTTTGCCTTTGATTTCGCGATGCAAGCTGTTGCTGTTGTATACAGTTCTTAACCATTACAGTAGTCTGTAAGAAAGCATGAAGGTAAGTATAGGTGTGTGTATAAGTGATCCATGATTTGACCATGAGCTCTGGTTGTATACAGATCAACCAGTAAAGTAAATGTAAAATGATACATGCGCCATTCAAAGTATGTACATGTAATTGTAAATGATAGCTTCGTCAACCTATGATTACGCACTTTTAAGGTAGTATTTCATTGATCAATCCACGACGAATGCAACCTCACCTATACAACCACGATATATTTTGTAAAATGTCTGGTATTGATTTCCAATAATATCATGCATATGTTTACGCCGTCTTTGTATGCGTGTGTCCGTATACTTTTTAACGATGTATATACTTTTGGATATTGCGACAAAATGCAAACGTAATTCCCCGGACCTCGGCGTGTCTATTACATCGTCACACCTTTCGACGACAATGTCCCTTGATGCATGCATACCAATTTGTCACTGTGTTCAAGGTAACATATTCCCTTCGCAAGTATATTGTTCATTGCTAACTTATACTTTTTGTATCACTATTTATCTCTAACAATGCACTATCACAATGCGGCCTTATATATGTCATAAAGACATTTTAACATGGCATAGCATGATTATTAAAATGCATGTTCCCTAAGAAGTGTACTGTCTTTAACATTGGCATAGGACCTGACAGTTTTGAGAATCGTTTGTCTTTGACATGTGCTTCGTCAGTGAAAAACGGAGTGTGGCTGGGAGGAAACGACTTGATGGCGGAGGGCTACTGGGTGTGGGACAAGTCGGAGGAGCCCTTTAACTACACCAACTGGAACCCAGCAGAACCTGACCAGTCATCTGCTGGTGAGCAGGACTGTCTGTCCGTCTGGAAGAGAGGAAACTACCAATGGGCTGACCACTACTGCGACAGACCGGATCTTGCATCTCTTTGCGAGAAAGAGTAAGTCATGATGTGATCTGCATTCTGTCGTTCATATTGCACATTATATACATATATAGGATATTATTTAATTTCAAGATATGTAGGATATTATTTCGCTGTTGTTTACACGTTAGCAGTGCATGGACTGGTGAGTGCATTTATTTGATTTTAATAAAATTCTTTTATTGCTTATAGTTTTGTCGGATGTACCAACTGAGCAACGCTGGAGTAATCACAAGTCTTTGTGGGTTAGGCTGTCTCTATGGGGAACTGTCCATCAATAACAGATTACGACCATTACATCGCTTTATCCCGGCAAATAAACTGATACTGTGAATTGGTGTATTTCTGTTTGTATCACAGAGTTTATCTCAATTTAATAACTTCGTGTGTCTTGACTTCTTGACAACTTTCTGGTAGCATAAGCCCCGACGTGGATGGATGGTTTTTTGGTAACGCGCACCTTCCTTTCAAAGAATTTTTGCTTGTAGTTAGTTCCTTATCACCGCACTATCGCAGAATTATTCCAGCAAACTGACGGCGGTCATGATGTATCTCATTACCCAGTGATCAGTCATCATCATTGCTCTACGCATTTAGGAAATGAGGACGTGCATCAGCCAGCGAGCCTGACCACCCCGATCCCGGGAGGTACCTTTACAAGCTTGGACTGCTGAAGGCAAATTCTACCCAGGATCTTTCAAAGAAATACATGTGGGAGTAAAGTTATGTTCCACCTTGCGCTGAGGCTCTCGTAAGCCTATGTTAAAGTATATTAGAATCACTGCTAAATTCGCTCTGGGGAACCTGAATATTATATATTAAGGTCTGTACCATGTGTAAAAGAGTTACGCCGTGAGTTCGGGGGTGTTACACACAATATGTTGTAACTGTGTGTTATATCATGCCAACCGAACACTCAGAAAAACACATTCAGAAATCAACGTGATGGTTGAAGTGAATCTGTTTTCGTTCACTCAGTATGTCCTCATGTCCACAGTTGAGTGAGGTATGACAATCGTACCAGCATGACACCAAGATACAGGTACAGGTGTATAATAACTGATTTTCTTTGCAACAGGTACATCTAATACTGAATTGTGTATTGTTTGTGGGGAGGTAAAGAAATGAGGAGAGCCTTCACAGTACGAAGGGGACACATTTGGTGTGAACATATGGATTGTCTTTCGGGAGTGGATACATGGTAGAAATAAAGTAAGGAATGTGTTGAATGTAAAGATACTGAACGTCTTGTGGGCGTGGATATATAAAGCCTTGGTGGTAGAGATAAAGGCCATCGTGTATAGAGGAATGTGTTGAATATAAAGATGCTGACGTCTTGTGGGCGTGGATAGATAAAGCCTTGGTGGTAGAGACAAAGGACGTCTTGTGTATAGAGGAATGTGTTGAATGTAACGATACTGAACGTCTTGTGGGCGTGGATAGATAAAGCATTTGTGGTAGAGATACAGGGCATCGTGTGTATAGAGGAATGTGTTGAATGTAAAGATACTGAACGTCTTGTAGGCGTAGATAGATAAAGCCTTGGTGGTAGAGACAAAGGACGTCTTGTGTATAGAGGAATGTGTTGAATGTAACGATACTGAACGTCTTGTAGGCGTGGATAGATAAAGCATTTGTGGTAGAGATACAGGGCATCGTGTGTATAGAGGAATGTGTTGAATGTAAAGATACTGAACGTCTTGTAGGCGTAGAAAGATAAAGCCTTGTTGCTAGAGATAAAGGACGCCGTGTGTATAGAGGAATGTGTTGAATGTAACGATACTGAACGTCTTGTAGGCGTGGATAGATAAAGCCTTGGTGGTAGAGATAAAGGGCATCGTGTGTATAGAGGAATGTGTTGAATGTAAAGATACTGAACGTCTTGTAGGCGTAGATAGATAAAGCCTTGGTGGTAGAGATAAAGGACACCGTGTGTATAGAGGAATGTATTGAATGTAAAGATACTGAACGTCTTGTAGACATGGATAGATAAAGCCTTGGTGGTAGAGATAAAGGACGCCGTGTGTATAGAGGAATGTGTTGAATGTAAAGATACTGAACGTCTTGTAGGCGTGGATAGATAAATCCTTGGTGGTAGAGATAAAGGACGACTTGTGTATAGAGGAATGTGTTGAATGTAAAGATACTGAACGTCTTGAGGGCTTGGATAGATAAAGCCTTGGTGGTAGAGATAAAGGACGCCGTGTGTAAAGAGGAATGTGTTAATTGTAAAGTTACTGAACGTCTTGAGGGCGTGGATAGATAAAGCCTCGGTGGTATGAATGAATGAATGGTTTATTCTCATGAAGATCACGCAATAGTGACATAAAGAAAAATACAAATGTACAGATTTGTTTCATGGGAGCATACGTGCCAATATGAAATGATTCTAACCTTTATAAGTATATCGGTTGGATATCTTCCCAGTTCACCGTATATCATATAATCTAGTGTTGATTGCTTAACTTTTAATATATATTTACAAAATTGTAAATGAACCCTTTCTAAGCGCGAGACTTCTGAGCAGTATAACAAAATCGGCTGCACAAGGTTATCGAAGAGTTTAAGTTGGCAATTAATGGGAATATCTAACAAACGTAATTTTCTAAAAATCGCATACATTGCTCTTGAGGCTTGTTCGACAATTCTCTTTTGAGCTTTACAGAATCTACCAGTGCGAGTAAATAAAATACCAAGATATACATATTCTGAGACCGATTCAATATTTTGCTGTTGTAGCTTGAACACATGGTGTATTTTGTCAGGCCTCCTCCCCAAAATTATTATCTTTGTTTTAGAAACATTTACAGTTAATTTCCATCTTTTACAATACTCATCAAATAACAATAAACATTTGATTAGGTCAGTATGGGTTTTCTGCAAATAAAACTGTGTCATCTGCATAGAGTAACAAAAGAAGTTTTAAATAGATATCAAGATCATGATGAATGTTACTATTCAAATGTTCAAGGCCATTAAAATTATTGGTTACTAAATACTCTTCCAGATCATTTAGGTATAATGCAAAGAGAAATGGGGAGAGATTGTCGCCTTGTCTAACACCAAAACAACAATGAAAATAATCACTGGTATTACCATTGTATGAAACACATGACTTAATACATTTGTACATGTTACGCATGACGAAGAAACATTTACCTGAAATATTATATTTAATAATAGAGATAAAGGACGCCGTGTGTATAGAGGAAAGTGTTGAATGTAAAGATACTGAGCGCCTTGTGGGTTTGGATAGATAACGCCTTCTGGACGTCTGGTGTGTGAAGGTGGGGAAAGCCTTGTATGTGAAGAGCCTGGGTACGCATAGGGAAAGCATAAACGGCACAGACGGTGGAACTGAAGGACGCGTATTTAGTGGAGATACAAGAACATATTCTGAATGAAGACTGGGGACTCCTTGTGGATGAGGATAGTAGACGATATGTTTTTAATTACTTCCCTCAGGTGTAACAGCTGCATTCAGTCAACACAGTCAATGAACATACGATACATACAGTAAGGTTAATTTACTCAATGATAAATTGATCGGGCAATTTGAAAGGAAATGCGGAAATGACATCTGGGGCCAGGATGCGGTCGACACATAATATGACAAATCGACAATACAAATAACGATATGCATCACTTAACAATTATTATCATTGTCGAAAAGTTATATCTAATCCACCCATATTTAATATACTATACATATATGATACATAAGATTATCAAAACTCGTCAAGAATTCTGATAATATTAGAGTTTGTCAGTGGTGAATTAAGGAGTGGACTTATATTTCGGCGCTTAACGGCAATTTTAGTTACATCGAAGCTGTGTTCATCTGCAAGGAAATCCCAATATAATGTTGGTCTTGGGCGTCTCAACATTGAAGTAACATAACCAGAGCTAATCATGGGATCAATACACGATCAATGAAACCCATCTCGCCTCTCCACCATCATGCCAAACTGTTTTAGTCATCTTTCTCAACTGTTTCGACTATGCCCATATATTTCAGAAAGCCTTGCAACTGATGTTTTTTCCGAATCAAATTAGTTTCATTGTGTGACTGGGACTGGGATAAAGTCTTGGTGATTCGGTTTTCCGATCTCCCTGGAGATGGTGGTATACTATAAGCCATCTAAACTCACAAATCATTGCTTTATATGTATTTATCGTCACGAACTGACCGATCCACAATCTCGTGTTCTACCTGGGAACGTACGAATGACTTCCTATGAAGGGGCGTGAATCTTTTTCTCACCACATCCCATTACTTTAATATAAATGATGTCTAAATAATAGCTAATTGACTACTATATGTTACAACAAAATGCCAATACGCCTACCATATGGCGCATAAAAGTACACAAAAGCTTCGAGAAGAAAAGTCTTCATTCAGTTTACTGTTAGGAAAATCTTGCATAATGATGACATTGTAAGGGTTATTATGATTAAAAGTCAATAACATTTGTGAATGACAAATAGACGTCAATATCCAGCAATTGTTAGCCTTTTTATTGTCAACTTAGAACCGATGAGTACGCCATTTCAGCTGTCTGTCAACGCGCTTCAAGGTGTACATTGAACGATCCCACGCATATGACACTTAAACCCAATAGCCGTGTAGAGTACTTAGCTGACGGATGATGGCTTATTAGGGGACATATTGCCATTCCAATGGACATATATTTGTGTCAATGTCAATGTTAACTGTTATGTTATACACTGTGCCAGGATATCACTAGCTATAACAATAGCTACTACTACTACTACGACTACGACTACTGCTGCTGCTGCTGCTACCAGTACTACTGCTACTATTTACTATTACTGTGAACACCCTCGATATCAGAAAGGAACGCGAAAGACTCTTACCAACCAAAGATGGACGTCTGGTTTAACATCGGTATCAGGATTGTCATCTTGCTTATTTTGCCAAATTCATATTTGACACAAGGTAAGTTTAGTGCGTTCATTTGTAATGGCTGCAGTTATCTATGTTGTTACACCCTGTTTATGGGCTTCAAACGTAGTACCTGTGTAGATAATCAAACCCAGACCTGCATGACGAGCGAACGCTGTAACCACCCGTCTACCAATAGTTTTCTTATGAATAAACAACTTTCCATCAGTGGTTTAAATATTTGGTAATCTAAATAGTGAAGTGTAGGATAAAAAGTGATAAACGTAGTAATGTGTCTAACCTGATAATTCATTTGGATTGCAGAAAACATATGTCCAACCTCAGCTGGAGAAAAAGGTAAGTGTACATGTTCCTGATATTCCGTGATATTAAAAGTAATGTATGTAATCCATATGTTTAATATATAAAGACTAGTGCCACAGTGTCAGTGTAGCGTTATATAACCCATCCATATGTTGTCAATACAGTGGTGCTTTATACACTGTTGACTGTAGTAAATATGACGTCAACAAAATTAGGTTGTGATGTCATCTCATACTGAACGTATACCTCACTGATACGTTTCAATTAATATGACCAAGATAACTGCCACGTGTACTCATTATATAATTTAGATTATTGCATAATGTTGATTACCTTGACTCATGCAGATAATACTTCAAATACACGTGCTCTAATATGAAACTAATCACCAATTAAGTGTTAAATGAACATTGTTCCTAATTTATTGAAAAGATGATGAAAGCTGACAATTGTTGCACAGTTATTAAAAGAACACTGTACTATTTAGTGACGTGTTCCGACAAAGCAGTACTCATTTGTGTATATTGTGCTTCAGTTGTGCATGTGTGTGAGAGCAGCTTTGCCTCTGGAACATCCATCTATCTGGACACTATTAAGGCCGTCGACTATCAAGGCAGTTGTACATGTACACTCAGGGCGCAGGGTGGCGCTGTTGACTTCCAGTTATCAGTGCAAGGGGTGCATACAGACTGTGATGCTACCCTATATGTCCCCCCACCCATTGATCACACCTACAACTGTGTAGACAAAACACCTTCAACAACTACAGGACGGATCGGGTCAGGACAGATACTCTTTATATCTCTCACCAAGAATTCTGACGTGGCTGATTTCTGTGTTCATTTAGTGCAGACATCAACAGGTGAGCTTCTGTGCCGTAGCTGAATACATTGGGTGACGAATGTACCATCGGCTTCCTCACATACCAATTACGTTCAGACTTTTTTTTTAAAACCCGTGATGATCCAGGTTAGAATTGATCTTCAGAAACCCATGCTTGTCTTAAAGGCGACTAATAGGATCGGGTGGTCAGGCTCGCTGACTTGGATGATATATGTCATCGTATCCTAAGTGCATAGATCGTTGCTCATAATGTTGTTCACTTGATTGTCTGGTCCAGACTCGATTATTTACAGACCGCCGCTATATAGCTGGAATATTGCTGTGTGCGACGTAAAACTAACTCACTCACTCAGTTTCCTCACAAGCTTACGTTTGTCACATATCGTCACTATATGTGTTATTCGTACTGATTCCTGTTCTAAATTACCGTGACCAGGGAGCACATTTACAGAGGAGCACATGTACGAGTAAATAGCATCTGTTTGCACAACGAAACAATCGTTGATCATCATGTAAAGAGGTATCATTGTCTGAAGTTGCCTATAATACGTCAAAGGAAAATATTTGAGTTTATATATGAGGTTATTTGACCTATAGCTATACTACTGAAATTAAATCAACATTGAACCCATGTTCGTGTTGTTTTTAAAACGAAAAGTCCCCAACTATATGTATATTTTTCACTTACAATCTTCCAGCATTCTCAGCATGTAAACGTGCAGGTGACTTATAAAATCCACTTTCAGATTAGACTGTAAGTTCATATTAGGGTAATTAGTAAGTAACGCATATTCATATTCTTACAAAGGTAAAGGTAATTACGTCGTCGTTGTTTCAGCTGGATCTTTAAACGTAGTGTGCACACAGGGGACGCTGAAACCTACCACCACCATTGCCACAACGACAATAACTCCTCCTCCTGCAGTGACTTCATCTCTGACCACGAGTATAGGTAATTATATGGCCGTTATTACATCTACCTTGACGCCCGTGAAGATCCGGTTAGAATTGGTCTTCAGTAAACCCATGCTTTTTCGTAAGAGGCGACAAACGGGATCGGGTGATCAGGCCAGGTGACTTATTTGACACTTGTCATCGTATCCCAGTTTCGTAGATCGAAGCTCATGGTGTTGATCACTGGGTTGTCTGGTCCAGACTCGATTATTTACAGAACGCCGATGGAATATTGCTATGCGGGGTGAAAAATCGCTTACCTTGTATATCTGTTACAGACTAAAAATTTCAGTCATTTCGTGAAATAGCTAAGAGGGTTAGCCATTCAACTATCCCTACTGCTCGTTATCTTTCTTCCTGGGTTAACCATGGCATTCTCTCTTTGTGACTTTATGTGCAGTGATATTGCAGTGTTGGACAGGCAATTTATACTGATTTTTCGCACGATCTTTCCCATATATCCGACTAAGACATGTGTTTCGTGTTTCCGAGAGACGAGGCCACAACATTCGTTTTAGCGATTTGTTTCGTGCATCACGAACATTGGCAATCGTTATCAAGCACATTTGCATCCAATTTGATTGACACCTCCAAGGCTATGCCAATAGCGAAATGGCTGATTCATAATCTGACTGTAACATATCACTTTGAACCTGAATCGATTGTAGACATATGAAAGGAGGAGTGACTGGTCAATTGAGTCATTAAGTTAAAACAAAGTAAATCAAAGGCACAAAGTAGCATATCTATGATGGAACCATATTCTGCAAGTGATAGGGTAGGTATAGCAATAACATCAATCAGCCTGATTCCATATTTAACTTATATATTGTAATATTTTTTGTTTTATTTTCAGGGAACCCATGCCAGCCTGATCCAGGAGATGGAGGTTTGCTATATTATTTTAAGAAACGTTTTTTAAGTCAACTTTTGTTGTCACCACGGTAATAACTAAATGGACTTTCGTGACACTTGTGTTCGTAGAGTGTACGTTATTATCATCTAATATCATTCCAAATCTGTCTTATCTATGTTATTGATATGTTATGGTACGAATGGTGAGATTGGGCTTAAATAGTGATTACTATAAATATGCCTTCCTGTGTGAAATGATCCAAAGCGTTTTGGATTGGAAAGTGCCCAAACCTGCATTGCTTAATTCGTAATTTGGAATTATGAGTTCTATTTGAATGCACGATTGATATAAATCTATTAAACTATATGATGTGTCTCTGACATGTTAATGAAGACTAGAAATGAAAACGTTTGGATCAATTATTATCAAATTTATAAACGTTATGCGGAGAACAGCTTAAGGTCTTTGATATAGTATTAACACAAACGCAAATACGATGTATATATTTTGAAATTTTAGATGTCCGAAAGAGGTCTAGAAATGTACACTGATTTTGATTTTGATTTAAACACATTTAATGCGAATAAACAAATGGATTAGGCACAAAAGACATACTTACGAGACCGTCTCCAATATACATTTTGCTGAATGGTTATATGTGAATAATTACAGTGTTGAATCCATTTGTTTATTCGTACGAACTAAGAAATGCGGGTACTCGCTAAGAACTACTCAGTATCGGTGTGACCATTCATTTTGAAGTTTCCAATTTCCAAAATGGACCACTCATAACGATACATTAAGGGATCAACTTCCTACCACAACATGCAACAATGACATAATGACTACTTCTCCAGGTTATGCATAAGATAGGTATACGTATTTCTAAGGCATAACTCAAAGTGACTAACGAAATGGTACTGAAATGAATATTCTAATCCATTCTAGGCATTGCCCTCATGCTGTTGATCACTGGATTGTCTGGTCCAGACTCGATTATTTACAGACTGCCACCATATAGCTGGAATATTGCTGAGTGCGGAGTAACACTAAACTCACTCACTCACTCACTCTAGGCATTGCCATTGGTATCATACTATTTGTCAACCTATCGGAGTTGTAGCCACGTGTATCCTGTAACCTATTCCATAGGAACCCGTGCTATAATTTGATCAGTGTTGTCACAAAGAAGGCGCTACTGGGGTACTTTTTTCCAAATAACAAAGGTTTTCTTTGACTATGTGGAATAATTGTTGGTACCTCCATAATAAAACCATGACTTTGAGATTAGCCCTGATCAGTCGAACATAGTATTTCTTCTTCTTGTTTAATGTGAATGTGAAAAGGGCGCATTTTATCCATCCATTCATATCGCATCTGGCTCAAAAAAATACTTCTCCACTTCTCCATGAAACCTGACGAATATGAAAGTCATTCTAGTCGTATTCAAAACGCACCATTGAATACGTTAATACGTTTTGTCATGTTATGACTTCCTCCTGGTATTAACGTTCATGAACTGAGAGCAGTTGGAAGTATATGGTGTGCATGCCTAGCGTTCCAAGATTTACAAGATAACATAAGCGCTATGTCTAGCTGACAAACATGTACTCAGTGAGCGTAAGTTGTGAGTAGCGCTGCCTGTTTTCAAGTCTAAATGTATGTATTTTCTACCAGGATCCCTTAATGTGGCCTGCTCCACTGGCACATTCGAAACAACCACTTCCCCTACAACAACGTCCTCGACAAGCAACGGAAATAGTAACGTAGTCACCACTTCGGATACGTCTGTTACTGTGAGCGAAGGCCCATCAACCACAAGTCCAGAAAATATAGTCAATGAAAGCACAGGTTCATCAACTGCAAGTCCAGATAATACAGTGACTGAAAGCAAAGATGCATCTAGTGAAAGTCCAGACAATACTGTGACTGAGAGCAAAGACCAGTCCCCTGCAAGTCCAGATGATACCGCGACTGAAAGCAAAGATGCATCTAGTGAAAGTCCAGACAATTCTGTGACTGAGAGCAAAGACCAGTCCCCTGCAAGTCCAGATGATACAGCGACTGAAAGCAAAGATGCATCTAGTGAAAGTCCAGACAATACTGTGACTGAGAGCAAAGTTTCCTCAGGCGAAAACCAAAACATAACATCGTCTGGTCGCACAGGTGCTAATAATGCGGACACTCCTCAGTCCGTTATTGTAGGTACGTATCGGTGTCTCATGCCGTTGAAACATGTCTTCCCTTAACGTTACATCTCACCATTTATATATTCAACACAAACAATTCACTGACACACAAAACGACACGCCTCATCATATAGGGACTATATCTTTGAAAACACTTTTGTTCTGTTTTTCAGTTGACTTGTACAGGTATTTTAACTCACTATACCAACATAACAAATGCCCATCAAGCATCCCATTATCCCAATTATATGTGAGATCAACTATTAGTATTTGAAAGGCCTGGATCAGGGGCGTTAAGTAATACCAAAATATATCTATGGCATGAGAAAAATAATGATATTTTTGGGTTTCATTGTTATGAAAGTGCTCTTTGTCTCTTCTGTTTACAATTTTAGTGAGCTTTGTCGTTGTTGGAGTCTTTGCAGCAGCCGTGGTCGTGATCATATTGTTTGGACTTTTTACTTACTGCAGGTAAGGGATTCAAATTGGAACATAGCATAACATGTCACGTGTCCCGAGGTTCGTATTTATGTCGTAAGAATGGGCAATCACGCCGTTAAATACTGAACTTAAAACACAGGCATACGTTCACTTCACAACAACTGTATAACGACTTTAGTTATTCCCCGGTGGTCAAAAGTCACCTACTGTGTCACTTACACACAGGTCTTGATTCATGATCCAATTCCACTTTTAACTTCATTGAAGGGAAATTCAAACATGACTGCTCGTGATGTAATGTACACTGTATTGTCTAACATATTGAAAGGGTGTGCAGACAAGATTTGTCTGTGACATTTTGATATCCATTTAAAATCCTTTATTGAGATTCACAAACACAAAGCTTATTTGTGTTGTCGTTTTCATTTTCAGGGATAAATCAAGACTAGAAAAGATTCGGTCGGCACAGGATCTTCCCAATGGACATACTACTGTATAGCTAATAAGAGCAACATAGAAGAACTATGCTGAATGCAGCAATATATTTCAATGATTGTTAAATATCAAAATACGTCTTCCAGTATGAGCAGAACGCAGCAATATGCTGAAGCCAGCATGGTAACATGCGATGTATAGCATAGCATTTATCATCCTTATGGAGTTCCACAAGGTTCTGTCTTATGTCCAATTCCATTTACAACATCACTAGAGAAACAGCCCGATCAAACAGTATCCAGTTTCATCTGTACTCGGACAATACCAACATATACTTGCGTTCAAACCCTCTCAGTCGTCGTCAGTATCTGCTTGTGAAATACTTACAAATGTCATCAGTGACATAAAGTTTTGGATGACAGCACACTTACTGAAACAGAAATTCTATTTGCTCAATATGACAAGACGAATTGCAACTCAACATCAAAGACTGTACTACCCGCATAGGACAAACTATATGCATTGATGTGCAGGGCACTCATCAACAAAACAGCAGTCTACTCAGCAGATGTTGTCCAGAAATATCCACCAACAAAATGTCTCAGGTCATCAGACGAGTGTATGGTCAGGACGGTTGTGACATTGGCTAAAACATTCGGCAGTCGGTCCTTTCAGGCTGCTGGACCAATCGAGTGGACTTCCTCTTGAGATAAGAAACTCCAGGAAACTTCCCAGACTTAAATCCAGTCCGAAGATACATTTGTATAGGACAACATCTATAGTTCAAAGCGTTGATGGACATCTAATGTTTTGTTTTGATTGCAGCTACCATAGTCTCCTCAGCGCTACAGAACAGTTTCCTAGTAAACTGGATACCAGCGGTATACACATGATGTAACATCTAAATAAATGTTTGAGTTAAGTGCGATGGACAAGTCGAAAATGGTTTCCATAACGATACACGCGTGACTTATTGAGACAGATGGACTTTGAGACTGGTGAGGGGAATTTAGTACATGGACATATATTCGGTGAATTAGTTAGGGTTTACGCTATTTTGAGGAATATTCCAACAATATCACAGCGGACGACATCAGAAATGGACTTCACACATTGTACCCGAGACCGAGCCTTCGATGTGATGAGCGAACTCTTTACCCACATCGTTACCTCACCGCTCCACATGGACATAAAACTAACCTTGCCCTTTGTATGTGTTAACGTGGTTCCAACAATGAAATCCGATGATGTATATACACTAGTATATTTCAAAGAAAATGCCAAAATATATGCACTTCTATTCTGAACATATTGCTTCATGTGAATGACCTAATACCATCGATATTAAAAGTCACCGTGTAAGATGAGGAAAATCAATTGGACTTACATGCAGTAATCCCAGTCAATAAATGTGGAGACATTATATGCTACACATAGAAAGACTGTGTGGGATTGTGTTGAACATATGTCATTGATCTTTGAATGTAGATGTCTGAAGATATCTGTGCTTTCCGGACATTGTTCAATACAGAGATAATACTCGCACGCATCTTCAGTACTGCTGACTGGAAGAGTAATAAATAGTTGAGGCTTTTATTGCTATAGGCATGTTAATGTAACTTTAACTGCAAGAACATGGCCTCGGGTTAATCCTCAGTGCACGATGTTATATCCAATGGCCCGGTAATGTCAGATTCACTCCAGACTGAAAGAGGGCACCCTTTTTCTCTGAAAGATGGATAACACCTTCGGAATCATTCTGTTTTTAAGTTTACCATGTTTTTATCGAACAAAAGGTAAGGAGTTTGATTATGTTTATCTGTTGCTAGAAATTAAAATATCTGCAATCGACGCAGAAACTAGGCCTCATGCATTTACTTTGAATCAGTATTGATATCTTGATTTGACCAAAGAAAATGCCGGTCAGAATTTCCGTGACCCCCAAAGTCGAATTAATTTGCTGATATGGGTTGATGTACAAAAACTGGACAAACGTATTGGGCCAAAATGGTTACGGCCGTATTTTTCTGTTCGGAGTGTTTCTAAATAAAAAATGATTTTAAGTTATATGTGTTAGTTGCACCTACCTTATACTTGATGATATATCTCTCGACTTTCCTTGTAAGAGGGCTGGAATCGATGAATATAGGCTTTGTTCATATCCCAGAGGTAAATTTTACCAGGTCATGCAAACTGCACGGAACAGTGCGTCAACAGTTGATTAACTGACACCTTCTTTATGAACAGAACGTTTGAGTTTACCCCAGACATTTTCGATAATATTTAGATTTGGATTTTGCCCAGGTCAGTCCAAGACGTGAAATCCTTCTTTTTCCACAAAGACTTTCACGATCCGAGTCCGATGAACAGGTGCGTTGTCGTATTGAAACATTTTGGAAGTGTCTTGCCCAAACAGGCCATAAGATTGGCATCAAGGATGTCAATATATTTCTCAACATGCATGATGTCATCCACGCTAACAAGTGCTCCAGTACAAAAGTGTGAAATACAATAAATTTTCTACATCATCAAACCTTCCTTATGTGAGCTAGAGGAAACACGCACTATGGCACACACCATTCATTTCTTTTTCGCCATGCAACAAATCTGTTGTCATTACTGATGACAATTTGAATGTTTTCCAGTTAGTTTCAACAGTCCAATGTATTTTTTGCAAAACACTTTGAGACACATTTTTTCTCGAATAATCTCCAGAACAACAATTTTCTGCTTTACAACTCGTCGAGAATGGCCATCAGATTTTAAAGTTCGACTGACAGTTTTAGTTTTGGCATCATCAACAGCATTCCTATATTCATTTATTTTGTTATAGTCATGTCACCTGGAACTCATCTTCTGTTCTCGCGAATACTTTTAATCAGTCGCATCTTTTCCGATAAGGTCATTTCGGTGAATGTTTTTCTTTTTGTAAGAAATATCGCTTCAACACATGCGATACAGTTGATTTTGGTACATTCAATCTTCTGACGATGTCTTATTGTTTCAAACATCTAAGTTACGCTTAAATTCATGATGGCATATTTAAAGCTGACCGTCAATTCTTCTCTCCGGCGACCCATTACGATCAGCTGTCGAGAGCTATGTTTACTTCCGAGGCGACATCTTTCAATCGCACCATGACATGAAAACATCATTATTACTAGTACTCGATGGAACCTAAAATAATGCCCCAATGGAATATCACTACCCAATGATATACGACGTCCGTTTTGTCTCAATACTTTTGTCCATTCTCTGTATATCATCGTATATCCCTTCCGTTGATCGATGACCATGAAGTCAATCACTTGATTGTGTGGTTTAGCACATATAGCTGTAATAAAGACAATAACATGTGTTCATGTCACTAGTCCTCGAATAAATATACCTATAGGAACACCTCAAACGTATGCACATGTGAAAATTAAAGTAGCATTTGATGGCACTGTGTCAGTTAATCTAATAATTCTTCTAAACATGTTACGAAATTGCAAAATATTTATAGTAGGGATTACCTCAGTCAAATTTAAGCAAACACGGTGCACAAGTGGTATCAATACAAATTGGGCGGAAAAATATTATTTTCAAAAATTTAGTCAGCGACAACTTTCTTCGCTTGAACACACATACAGTGGGACAGAGGCTTACGACATAAATTAATACTATCTGTTGTTTGCAGAAAATATTTGTCCATCGGAAGTTGAAGAGAATGGTATGTATATAGTTCCCAATTATCCAGGTACATGTAAATAGCAAAATATCGCAATACATTTTAACGAAGAAGATGACATTAGGTTAAAACGGTGAATGAATGTGTCCAATGACCATGAATGTATTTCATATGCAGTATATCATCGCATTCGTATAGTAATTAAGTGTTAACACTTGACCTGCCTTTACGTGTGTTTGTGACGGGCGCCACAGGTGGGCAGGATACGCACTTCTCTTGGCAATCACCTGGTCATCACCATACGATAATAATTCATAAACTCATCATTATCATATAGTTGTAATTATAAATTGGGTTCAATTTTTAAAATCAGAAATCATCGACAGGAAGACACCCTAAATTGGTAAGAAATATACGATGGTACAGCATGTAATATCTACGCGTGTTTTGTGGACACCTCAATTAACAGTACTTCTTCAATTTCAGTTGTTCATATATGTGAAAAAAACTTTGTCAGTGGAGAAATCTTCTATCTGAACACTGCTAGAGGTTTCAAGTATGAAGGAAACTGTGTGTGTCAACTTACGGCACATGGTGCGGCAATTGATCTCGAATTATCAGTTCACGAAGTCGACAAGTCCTGTGACGCTACCCTGTATTTCTCACCTCCGATCGATCACATGTACAACTGTGCAGACAAGTCACCGCCAACCGTAGCAGGGAGGATCGAACCCGGACAGACAGCCTTCATTTCGTTTTTTAAACCTTCCCCTGATGTTATAGCCGACTTTTGTGTGATGGTGGTGCAAACAACAACGGACGGTGAGTTTACAGAGATTATGTGATTGAAGTTGGTAATATGGTTGTTTGATCGGCATTCTAGAAGTTAGTGAGTCAACAAATAAAACATACAACTTTATGGATGCCAACTTCTTGTTTATTCCGTTGAGCGACGTTTTGATATAGATTCTTACATCGTTATCAAGCTAAAAGTGATAACGAGAACGATGTAAAAATCTACATCGAAACGCCGCCCAACGGAATAAAAAGGAAGTTGTCATCCATAAAGTTGTATGTTTCATTTAAAGGTTATATGATTGTGAGATCACAAAATACACATGACCTAGCTCAACCACTATGCCAATAGTCACGTCCAGAATAACCACTTTCGGGTCATCCATCATCATATACTTGATGTTACTGCATCTGGGACAATGTCGTCCTTGTAATCATTGTTTTGAAATTATTATTATTATTTATTTAAAAAAATATTTTTATTCATTTCAGATAGGTATAATTGTTTTGAAAGTTACTTTGCTTGATTCTTGAATAAGGGCGGTAGCGTAGCATAGTGGTTAAAGCGTTGGCTTGTCACACCACATGGTCCAATGTGTATAGCCCATTTCTGTTGTCCCCGCTGGAATAATGCAAAAAGCTGCGTAAAACTAAACTCACCCACTCACTGTTTCTTGAATACTCAACAACGTTAGGCCAGAAAGATTCAAGAATTGATTTCTATTAAATCAACCATCCAAACAGGCATAGATGCAAAGAGGTCACCCATTCTCTTTGTGCTTCCGAACAGTTAATTGTGAATGAAAACCAGTGATGTGCAGACGTTTAGCTGTCCTTGTTTGTCGTATAATCGCTGGTTCAGCCAAGAACGTCTACGTCGACGTCTACTAAGTTTCATTTGACAGGAACATTTACGTTACGTTAATAAAAGAAGACAACAGTCCGATAGAGCAACACATGCTTTCCTTGGTGTCACCACTGATGGGCATCAGTCCATTTATATATCGTCTCCACTATTTCGCCTTTTGCGCCCAGTGAATCTGTTTCGGCAGACCACTGCTGCTGATTATTATATAGTATTATATTATATATTATCATATATTTTCCCAAATACATGTTATTTTTTTCTGCTCGTCCGGTTGCATCCATCCTTCAATTCCTCGTCATACTCAACATCTTCAACACATGCTCTTCCAGTTGTGTAGAATGTTTTCATGATGTACTGTGCAGCAAGTGAGGGCAA